TCCCCTTTGAATATTTTATGTCACTAAACCTGTTTTTTTTGGTATTTTGGTGATATGCCCGAATTTTCCATAGGGGTCGTTTGAATAGAACAATGCCACACTAATAAATTCATGGCTTTCAAAACTGGACCGGACCAGATGTTTGGACTGAAAAAACCGGTAACCGGTCAGCCCCAGGTCTGGTTATACTAGAAATTGGAAATTCTTAAAAAATGTTGAAAAAGTAAAAAAACCGTTGACCTGGGCGGTTGGGCTGCTAAACCGTTTAGGCCCTTTAGGGTTAGAACCCCATTTTCGTTCTAACCCTTCCTTCATCTCAACCCTCACACCCAACTAACCACCTGCGGCGGCCAGTACCTCCAGCATTTGATGGCGATACATACCGACCTACGACGATTAACGGAGACCGGCAACGATGAGTTTGCAGCGGCGGCCAGTGTATTTTGCAGTACTTCCAGGCTCTAGTAATAAGAGTTGCGGCAGGTAAGTTTGCAACGGCGGGCGACGAGTTTGCAGTGGCGGGCAGGGGGTTTGCAGTGACAATAACACCACCATTGGCGATTATACAAGTTGGAGCAGCACTTGCAGCTGATTTTTACATAGAGATTTAAGGGTTTATTTATAGATATTATATACAGAAAAGGGCATCTTGCCGACTACTCATAGTTGAAGAACCAAAACATGCAGAACTGGCTTTTCTTTGGATCTGAACTTTCTTGCCTCTCTTTAACCTTGAAGGTAGATCATAAAACGGGTCTATTTACAAACGTTTTCTTTCTTCTAATTAGTTTACCATAAGGAAATTTTGCGTTCAGTTAAATAGGATAACAAACTACGAAATGACATCAAACTTCTGATTATTTAAACTTTTGAACAGTCCTATTGCTTAGAGGCTGGACTGAACTAAAAATCAGAGTGATTGATGATTCTAAGAGTTCATCTATTAGGTGTTGTTTGATTTTTACAACAGGCTCAAAATGTGATACTTTGGGGAGTTCGTTTGATTTTTCTTTTGATTTCTAAGTAACACAATGCATATTAGATTCCAACTAATAATAGGATCTCATATGGTTCTTGGTTCTTGATTCTTGAATCCACATATAGAGCTTTGTATTCTTGTAATTTGACTTAAATTTTTTGAGGGTTTTCTTCTTGAAATCCTTATATGTTCTGTTTTATTTTTCTGTTTTTCTGTATTTTTTCAATATTTTCTGTGTTTTTTTTTTGTATTTTCTATTTGTTATGTACTTTGTTATTTTTTGTATTTAGATAGTTTTATTTTTTCCGTTTATTTTTTCTGTATTTTTTGAATTTTTTTGTGTTTTTTCTGTATTTTTTAGAATTTTTCTGTATTTTATTTTTATATTTTCTTTGTGCTTTGTGCTGTATTATTTTTTATTTAGATAGTTTTATTTTTTGTATTTTTTCTGTTTTTATTTAATTTTATGCTATTTTTTTATTATTTATAAATATATTTTTTATTTTTAATTTATCTATGATGTCATGGGTCAAACTGTTCGACCCAGATGGTTGAACCGTATAACTGGAAACCGGTCCCCTGACCGGTTCTGCTTCTGGTTCGTTTTTAGAAACCATAAATAAACCCCTCCTCGAAAGTTGATGGTTATGGGAGTTGAATCCACATCTTTGATGGAACGAACCAACTTATCCACCCCTCACTTTAAGAGCTCTATGATGTATTTGGATTGATATTATATTGGTTTTCAAAATAAAACAATTAAGAGATGAGTTTATAATTTGCCGGATATATTGGGCCGGGTAGGGTTTTCATGGTTAATTGATGGTTTTGACGGTGAGAATGATCTAACTGACGGGTCAGCCATTAAAACGGTGACCCAGTGAGAATTACAAAAAAAGGTTTGTATTACATTCATTCATTCATTGGTAAATTCCATAAAAGTGGTCTGAAATTCAAATATATACTGTGCACCACTAGTGGTAGTGAAGGTGTAGAACTGATAGATTGATGCACAAGAGCCCTAATATAGTAAGCTCCTCAAAGAATATTAATGAACTACGGTGAGTGTCGGTAACCGTACCGGTACGATATATGTGGAGGAACTAGTGTTCTTCACGGATGTCCATGACTGGGTGCAGATACAGGTGGTACGAACAAGTCTCACTCCATGAATAAATACTAGTCTTTTCACTGGTGGTGGTAAATTTTCCTACTATAGACTAGATGATGATGGCATCACCGTTCATGGGTTCCATCTGGAACTAACAACTGAAGCTGAGGCCACACCCAACGTTGTGGAGAGTTGGGATATGAATGGAGATCACTGGAGTACTCTTATTCCTTTTAACGTACTTTTTAAAAAAACTATTGCACCGACCGACCATGCTTAGCAGTTAGCATCAGCAAATTTGGATTTGTTGTTTTATATGTAAAAAGTGCTTAATTATGGTGCAGCTTCTCCTCAGCATAAGCTCATGGAATGTAGTTTTTGGGAGGTTTTCAGAAAACTGATATAATGTGTTCATGATCTCCTAGGACCCAAGCTGGCTACAGTAAATTTCACAAAGAACTGGCCATCTTTTCTCATTTCTCCTTTTTGTTCTTAATGCTTTGATCATGTCATTTACTTTGACCATGCGCAATCAGTTCGCCAGCTCAGGTCGTGGGGCCTTTTTGATCGAGTCTCTGGACCTGCTACATTTTTTTCGCTGCACTTTGTGGCGTACAAAGCAATCAGAGTAACCGAGTTTTACACATAAATCCGGGACATTGCTTACACACTGATTGCTTCTACACCACATAGTGTACCAAAAAAGTGTAGCAGATCTGGACTCTTCTTGATCACCCATTGAATCCTTCCAGGAAAATGTTGCTTGTGGGAGATGATTATTAAGGCCCCAACACCAAGGCTATGTTTGGTTTTGATAGTAAGTAAGAGAGAGAGAGAGACACACACAAACAGTACTGTTGAGGAAAAGTGCTTAAGAAATTTTGTGAAACTCCTTAAGCACTTTCCCTCAACTCCCTGTATCTCTCTCACTTACCATCAAACCAAACACAGCCCAAATCTATGCCTATTTGTATACATGCAAAACACTAGTGATATATATATATATGAAGTAACAAATAGGTTTCTGATATGTATGTATATAATATTTAAAGTAAATAATTTAGGTTGGGGACACAGAAATTTAGGTCTAGAGTTTGAACCAAACAGTTCTACAATGATTACTTTATAAGAATTAACATCAATGTATTTTTAAGAGTACAGTATAATCAAACAGTCTCATCCGCGGAAGACACTCAAATATCTTCTAAAATAGGTCTGTACATATCTTACAGATATGCTTCAAATCAATATTCAAGAAGCAAAGGTACACATTTGAAAGGGTTTAACACTTTTAGAATTGTTCATGAATTACTGAGAAAACACAGCAAGGAAACTTCTCGTCCAATAATCGCCCAATAGTTGCGACACCGTACCTCTCTCTCTCTCTCTCTAAAATAAATATAAGCAGGGGCATAATAAACAGATTATCAGTCAAGCTAAGGTTGATCTGACCCATTTTTGGGTACATGCAGTGTTTGGAATATAAAGACATTTCAAGGGGTTTTGAATAAGTTTCATATAGTGTTGTGTGACCATACAATCATTCCGAGACCGAGATTTGGTGACATAATCTCCATTCCAAGGGAGGGAGGATCCAAACTTACCTGTTACAAATATAAGTTTTTTTTTTTTTTTTTTCTGGGCCATATATATGGATATATAGAACTAATTAGGTAAATTTAATACCTAGCCTAGATCAATTCAATTAAATAATCCCTTTATTCTTTAAATGCCAAAAATCCATTTTCCATTTTATGATTATTAAGAGGAGAAGGCACTTGGGTATTCCAAATCTGAATCCCTAATCAGCGGGGAAAGACAGTACTTGTATCCAGAAAGCTACAGTGTCAGTGGGTCTGGCCCATAAAAGCTAATGGAGGTACATTAACCACGTATATAGAAGTTGCTCCTGCAAATCCTTTGGACTGTAGCACATTTTCTATTTGTTTATACGGGAACTCAGTATTTTGACTTATAACCTCTTTGTCATTTTTATATTAATTAATTAATAGCTTATCTAATTAACAGAAAATGATCATGCAACCATATGCATGCGAGCCCTAGCTAACACTAGCTCACTTGAAAATTTAGACTCTAGTTTTTATAATTTTCTACCCAATTATAGCTCACAAGGTTTACTCACTGCAAGCCCATTCGCCTGATTATTACTAATTAATTAAATCCAAGTTATAGAAGATGACAAATAAAATAAAATAAAAGAATCAAGAGAATGTTTTGGGTCATATTTCCCATCACTGTTATTATAGTCCACATGATAACAATGTGATATTAGAATTTTGTTTTTTTCTCACATAAAGAAACTCAACTTATATCCTATTTACAATTCAATATAATTAATCACAAACACTGCAAAGAACGATTTTTTTTTTTTTATACTTTTGGTTTATAGGCTTGAGAAAACAGGGCTTCACATCTTTTAGACATAGAATGATAGAATTGTAGAAAGCACATATATGCATGGCCAGGTTTTAAATTTGGTGCATAGCCATACACAACTATTTGTGTGCATTTGCATCATTTCATAATGGTACAATCAAATTAAAGGTTCAAAATTTTAATACAATCGGACGTACCATATCATGTTTTTAATGACCAAATTAAAATATCTATTTTAATGCATTTTAAAAAAAAATCTTTCTTTTAATAATTAAATACCCCAAAAAATGACCTCCCTCTCAAATTTTGAACCTTGATTGGTATTCAATGCATTGAACTTGGAGGGCCTAGTTTCTTTTTCTTTTTTTTCTTGATCACTTTATTTTATTTTAATTTCTCCATCTGAAATTCATAGAAGATGATATATATATATATACATATAGTATTCTCAAGTCTCAAGTACTGATGAGAAGAGTGAAGACATATGAAATGAGAGAATAGGGGAAAGGCAATACGGGTGGCATCCCCTCGCCCTGATATTATAATAAGAGCGCAGTGTCAATGTCATCCTTTTTTTAGTGTACCTTTCACTCTCTCCCATTTATTATTACCTTTGTCCTTTCTCTTTCATTCATTCTCCCACACTAACTGCTCCTTGCCTTCTCCCCCCCTCCTTCCCTATCCTTTTGCCACTGAATTTGCAGGCCTCTCATTCCAATTAGGGTTTCCCTTTCTCCCATAATAGTTACTCATAAGCTTTTACTTTCATTACCTAAAGCTTCTTTCTTCCTTCAACAACCAAGAAACAGGAAAGAGCTTACACACGGAAAAAGGTACTGCCCTTTTTCCTCTGAACAAACAACCCCTTGATCTCCAACAGGTGAGCATACGTAGTTTAGTTTCTTTTTTTTTTTTTTCTTCTTCTTTTTTTCTTTGTCCAGTTTTTACTAAAGTTTCTTTTTTTTTTTCTGTTTCTTTTTTGGTTGCCACTCGACTTTGGGTCTCAGGCTCTCTGATTTAGGGTTTTGCCAGATATGGAGTCTTTTATGGGTAGAATACGAATACCAGTGACATTTTACAGCAGTTTTGGAAATATATATAATCAAGGCTGAGATTGCACCAGTTAGATCCCATGCTAAACGAACCTCAGAGGGATCGATATTAGAAGCTGGTGCAACTGAATTCCACAAATCAAGGACTCTGGAAATGTTGCGTGTGTGTGTCTGGAGAGAGAGAGAGAGAGAGAGAGAGAGGTCGGCGTGCGGGTGTTAACAGAAGGGGAAAAAAACGAAAAGCAAGACAAAATCAGTGTCTTAACTCCAGAAATCATGCATAAGGTTATAATGGTTGCGCTTTTTGTATTATATAATTGAGTAATATGGTCATGGAACAATGAAATGACGAAATTAGTCTCGCAATTCAAGGAAATATGCGTGTTCATTAGGTGACTTGAAGGGAAAAAAGAAAAAGAATGGGTAAAATTCGTCTTCAGGTTCCAGCAAAAAAGTAAATGGAGAATCCGGAGTCAGTCGTAAAACTAATTAAGTTCCTTGCATCTATCGAAAAAAAGAAAACCCAAGTTACTAGATACTTGCAGAAAGAAATAAGAATGAATCAGAAAGAGAGATGGTGCAACTGGGTTGTACATGAAATCTCTGTCCCTTCAAGCGACTAAAAGTTTCTTCATATTTGAAAGATCAAAAAAGAAAAAGAAAAAAAAAATGATTGTATATGTTTATCGGTGAATTTGCAAATAGGAATTAATGACTGACTTGGATTTACTTATATGCAGCATAGAGGATGGCTTCATCCAGTTCTTCCAACTCTCCCTGTGCTGCCTGCAAGTTCTTGAGGAGGAAGTGCATGCCGGGTTGCATCTTTGCACCCTATTTTCCACCCGAAGAGCCACAGAAATTCGCCAATGTTCACAAGATCTTCGGTGCAAGCAACGTCACAAAACTCCTTAACGAGCTCCTCCCTCATCAGAGGGAAGATGCAGTGAACTCCCTTGCCTACGAAGCCGAGGCACGAATGAAGGATCCCGTGTACGGCTGCGTTGGGGCCATTTCAGTCCTCCAAAGACAGGTTCACCGACTCCAGAAGGAACTAGACGCCGCTAATGCTGATCTGATCCGGTATGCTTGCAATGAAATGGCTACAGCGTTGCCCGCAACGCCGGCGACTGGGATAGTTCCATCACCGATGGCTCCTCGTCAAAGGTCTGCTGAGTTCGGTAGAAGGATGGGTGATGGGGTAGGTTCTTTCTATCAGATTCCTGGTTTTCCTCTTCCATATCCCGCTCCATGGCCTGACGGCCCTTCAGGAGATACTCACGATAGGGTAGGAGGAGAAGGCACTATGTGAATTCAAGTGGGCATTTTTGAAAGATAAGACCCTTTCTAGGGTTCTCCTCAATATACAGGGCTTATGTGCTTAACATTTTCATTTCATGGTATGAGTTGCTATGGTTTTAGCTTGAGAATTGGGAACTATCGCTCTCCTATCCAAAAACTTTTGGTGAATTTAATTAGTGTTTTTTTTCAGTGTGAAGTTCCAGTTCTTCAATTAAGATCAGTCTATATCAGTGTTTTAACATGTAATTGGATTTTAGATGAAACTCTAGAACACATGGCCTGTGATTGATTTTATATTGTTTTGCGATTTTTCTGTGCTCACTGCATTAATTCTGCAGCATCTCTGAGTCCATATATTCTCTTTGTTGTTTATATTCATAAATATATTAATATTATTATTACTTTATGTTAAAGAGGATTCTCTAGCTCAGTCTAAAATCTTCATGTCTATTTTTTTTCCAGATTAAATATTCTCACTTCCATTTTAAAAAGACCATTACCCTCATTTTTCAGTAAGAACAGTTTAGTTAGTGAACATATTTTGGTCCTTTCCAATATTTATAGGACTATAGGTAGCACCTGATAAATCTATTTACTAAATTAGGGTTATGAATTCTCTATCTCTTTTCTGTTAAGCATCATGATAATCTAAGAGAGCATTATCATTGAATAAACTCAATAATCCACGTTTCCTTCATTATCTCAGCCTAAAGAAATTAAATGAAAAAGGGATTAGTTTGAGTTACTCTGAACTTTCTAAAATTTTGTTTCAACATTTATGCATTCTTTTGTGTTCCCACAATTAATTTTTCCACATACTCACAGACAATTGGTAGTGTAACTTCTTCTTCTTCTTCTTCTTCTTTTTCTTCTTCCCTTCTGTTCTGTATTGACTATATTGATTGTGAATATCAGCTTCAATTTCTTTTATCTTGTAATTATTTGAAAACATATAAAGCACGGTACTACACAACTTAATTACTTGATTTTCAGAGTAAGAAATTGTTTTTATTGGATTTATATAGAAGAGGGTGCAGTTATCTCTGTGTTTAATTAATTACCTTGGCAAGTATATAGGAGTAATAAACATACATAATTAGAACTCTCAAGAGTTCAGATGGAAGTAGAGATATATCAGCACACTGTCGATCAGCGCACAAACATATTCACACCGAACACAGATTTGACATGTCAATGAGTTGATAATTTCCTTATTTTCTTCAATGCATTCGCTCTGCCTCACTCCCTCCCTCACATGCGATCATTTATGTGTCTCATGGACAACAGAAGAAACAAGAAAGTTTTCATAGAAAAAACTATCAGCTCATTCTCGCTCTCTCTGAGAAAATTTACAAAAAAAAAAAAGAAAAGAAAAGAAAAGAAAAGTTAAACTGTCTTCTTTTGTGTTCTCTGCATCTCTGCCATTCGAGGGTCACGTCCATCATCCTCCAATTCCTCGGCCACCTTTCTTGAAATCGCCAAAGAATCACCTTTAATGAGGGGGGCCCTGTTTGAATGTTTGAATCTTGGGGAACGAACTCCATCTCTGGAAACCCCCACAAGGAAAATCATACGGAAAAAATCTTTAATAAATCTATAAATATTTCGTGGGTTATTTCTTTAACTTGTTGTGCAGTCTGTGGCGTTTGTACAAGGCCCAGAATAGAGTATGGCTTTCTGAAGTTTTTGTTGGGTCTTCTGAAGAGTGCAACAGTTTCAGTTGTTCAGAGTCGATCAATCCCACTGAAGGAAGGAAAAAAGGACTGAAAGAGAGCAGGTGAAAAAAATTGTAAGTTGAGGAAAGAGACAAAACCCATATTATGGACTCAGTTTTGCCTCTTCAACACTGCGCCTCCGGTCTACAGATTACAGGCTTACAGCTGCAATTGCAATGTATATATATATAAATATAAATAAGACTGGAAAAAGGCTGATGATTAAATGATGATTTTACTGATTTTAGTTACAAGAGTTTTCATGTTGATGTTGAATATGTATATATAATGGATCGATGGAATGGTAACTAAACGACATCATTGTTTATGGCAGGCAGTCTCTGAGCATCTTTACCATTCAAGCATGCCTAGAGAGTCGTGTTTTGCGGCATATAAATCTCAAAGCATATTTGTGGACTTTTGATGGTGTAATTGCTAGCTAGCTAGCTAGGGACCAGCCAAAACTCAGAACTAATTTATGTGACTATTACGTTGGGTTTTACCATACACCATTCATTTTGATGCCAAAGTTTTATCCAGATGAGAATATATAGTTTTTTTTTTTTTAAACAAAAAATGTCCGACTGTAGAGATGGGTTGTAATTTTTCTTCTTATCGTTTCTTTCAACCACCAGTGTTTGATGGGATAGATGCCCATTCAAGGTAGAGCATGAAGTGTTAATAAAACTTAAAACTAAAAGTATTAGATTTTGTTATTTGTATAGAATTTTGCCCCATGTTCCCTTAACTCTGAAACTTGGATATTATTATAATATTATTGTCATTTGCTCGTAAGCAAATGAATAATTGGACTAGCAAGCTAGCATCAACTAGACAAATTAAGGGGTATATATATGCTTCAATATAATGTAAATTGTTTTTATTGTTGTGAGTACCAAAAACAAATTAATCCATCTGCATGTTTCTTAAATCAAAAACATGGAAAACATGTTCTTGGTTCACTGTGTTTTTTTAACTGATTCCAAGAAACATTTTCTTGAATCTCTGGTTTGGAAAATATGTTTCTCTCGTCATCTTTCATAGATCATATAATATTTATATTCCAAAATTTGTTTTATTTTAAAAACCAACACTTTGATGATTTTAAAAACATGAGTTGTTTTCTGAAACAAAAATGCAGTTGGAGAGCATACTTTTGTTTACTTGCTGACAGGTCAATTTCAAAAAAAATAATGAAAAAAAAATCATGTTGTAAAACACCTCCTATGAGTATCACAATCTTGAGAAAAAAGCATCAATTAATGCTAGAGAAGGAAGAAGCTGATCAGTAAATCTTGTTTTAGTTTGTAAAACAAACCTAGGGATGGCAATTTTGTCCATCTCCGACAGGGACTCAACTTTCCCAACTCAATGAGGTGGGATGGGGATTGTTTTGGCGGGTCAAGGATTAATATGAATCTCCAATCGGGGTTGGGGTTGGGGTTGGGAATGGAGATTGAGGTTCTCACCCCGCCCTGACCTCGATTATATATATATATCAAAATATATTTAAAATATTATTTATAATTTAAATTTTTTATTTATTTTCAGAAAAATACTATTATCTAAAAAAATTTTGGAGATTCGGGTCCCGATAAGAATAAAAAATGGGGATGGAGGTTAATTTCAAAATCGGGGGCGGGGATGGGGAATATGATCCCCGCCCCATTGCCAAACCTGAGTATATATATGAGCACTGTTTTCAAAACCGGACCAGACCGGACGGTCGGACCGGAAAAAGGAACCGGTCACCTACCGGTTCCGTTTTCCTCCAAAACCGCTTTTTCCCCCAAAACCGTTGATTTTGATCAGCAAACCGCTGAACTGGCTAATTAACTGTTCGAACGGTTTTGACTGTTTTTCAATTTTTTTAATTTTTTTTGTCAGAACGGATTGGCCGTTCGAACCAATAACCGGACCCCTGACCGGTTCGGTCACCGGTTCGTTTTTAAAAACCATGTATATGAGTGTCGCAAGACGTGAATAGCGATGACAGACCTTGATTTGGAGATTGATCAATGGAAAAATCTAAAGTAATACTATTTTCCTATAATAGTATGGCTCTTTTTTTCCTGAAAATTTTGTTTTCTCAATTACGTGCTACCAAAAACCATAAAATTGCAAATTTTCATTTGCAGGATATTTTTTGTTTTCCCTCACTTCACGTGCAACCAAATGGAGCCAATATGAAAAGAAACCAAATTTGAAATATTTCGTTATTATATTTCATATCTTTTTACTTTGGGATAATAGTGAGGTTTCACCTCTCAATTCTTGTTCAGCCTAGATTGAAATCTACTGAATTTCTCACGTCAATAAGATCATATACATAAAGGCACCAAGCTAGAAGGCAAGGTACTTGAATGAAAAAAAAAAAAAAGATTTGGGCTAAGATCCAAACATATACGTTTCCTAGTGCACCAACTGAGATATAGAATCTCTTAGATCTTGTCGAAACTAACTAGATTGTTGTTCTTGTTCTAGTGAAAGAGGCGTTGCCTTTAATTCTTAAAAACATGTCATTTTGTTGGGGTTGTCTTATTTTTCACTATTGGACTATTTTTTTTAATCTAATGATTGGTGTGGTCCATCTTTAGGTTAAGGAGGGTTTTAGACATAAAAGGTCTTTTTTGAGGGTTTTATATATAAAAGGTCTCTTCTGTATGTAAGGTTTAAAAAAGTGAGAAAGAAGTTTACTCATTTTATTGTTGGAAGGGAAAAGGAGAGGTAGAGAAAAAGAGAGTGCTTTTAGTATAAGAGTGGGGTTTTTTTCTTGCTTTTATTCTTCGGGTTGAGAAAAAAAAGAAAAAAGAAAAAACGAGTGTACAGGGGTTAAGGGTTGGTTTCGGTTGCAACTTGTAAGCTACAAGGTACATCTACTGTTTCTCATTTTTTATTTCATAGTGAAAAACAATTTTCATCTCTTCCACGGACGTAAACGGTAAGGTCGAACCATATAAATCCATTGTGTTGTTAGTGATGTTTGTTTTTATTTGTCTTTGCTTGTATTTTATTATTTTGTTGCTATTGAATTTTTTTTCTTAGTTACTATTTTAAATACTATGTTTTTTCCCTATGGGTGATTATTGTGAAGCCCAAACACATTCAATTACTTATTGGAAGAAATTAAGAAATTTGAGTCCTTTTCTTTTTCAACAAATCTTCACAATTATAAATCAGCTAGGGGACCTCTAAATAATTGTTAAAGTTAATTTGTTCCTAAGGTCTGGCTTTGTTTATAGTGCTGTTTCATTTGTATTGATGCACAAGTACGGGGGTGCAAATTTCAATATACAAATTAGGTTTTGACCTTATTTTATTTGCTTTCAATACAGAGCATTATCTTTTATTGCACAATTAGGTTCTACCTATTTATGGTGCAAATTTGAACTAGATACACAAATTAGGTCTTGTTCGTAACTATGATTTATACCCTTACATGATGCAAAATTTGTACTTCTTGTTTTATTCGCACTCGTTAGTAGTGTAAATTTTGCATCTTAGAAAGTGAAGGTTATTTTGGGAGGGGGTGGGGGCGGGGGGGCTTCATGGTTGATTGAGTTGTGTTGAGTGGATGAAAGTGAATTTCTTAGCTGAATGTAGGGTTGTCAACAGGTCAGGTCCAAGTCAGTTCTAGGTAGAAGCAGTCCTGAACCAATTACTAATTGGGATAAAAGTATGGACCCAAAGCCATGCCGATTAATTGTCAGGTCTCACCTCAGACATGAGATATAATGAAATCAGGAAAATATTATATATATTTAATTTAATAATTAATCAATTTGGCCAATTGGGCAGGTTGACAACCATAGTTCCATTTAGGGGACGTTTGGGACCGGAGCATTTCACTACCATTCCGTTTCACAAGTAGGCCCCGACTCACAAGTAATTTGTTTCACCTGTTTTTTTGAGAAACACAAAAAAAAATGTGATTTATATTGATTGGATGTTTAAAATTATTTGATTTAATATTTTAATATATTTATAATGACAACTGTGTGACATCTCAAAAAATAGTCAATTTTTTCAAATTTCAATGTGCCATGTCACCAAGGTGATTCAGGATCACCTAGGTGATTCAAGAAACAAAAATTTGGTATTTCAAGAAACCCCTCTTTTCCCGAATCTCAAGGCTAATTCTTACAAAAATGTTTTTTTTTTAAACAAGGCTACCAAATACCTTTTTTTTACTGATTATGTTTATTTACTGATGTGGCACACATGACACATCAATAGAAACGGAACGGTTGTAAAACGCACCGGTTCCAAATGTCCTATTAAGTGTTTTTGGGCTATGGGTATTTCATTATAGCTTTTTATGTGAGACCTACCTTGCAATGCCATAAGCCAAAGAATGAAAGCCCTTCCAAATGGGCACTGATGCAAAATTTGCACAACCTTTCCTCTTACTTCAATTCTTTCTCTTCTAAAATGGGGACTACATTTTGCTTCCAACCTCACATCGAATCAAAGTACCCTCTTCCTACCTTCATACTCTTTCATATAAAGTGGGATCACAACATTTTTACTTCTCACAAACAAATAAGACAAGATCAAACGCAGACTAATCTACATTCACTTTTAACGGTCCAGGAGTGCAAGATACCCTTGGTTGGTTTAATGTATGGTCCTAAGTGTGGACAGAACCACTAAATGGTTCTAGCGCCATCTGGCTTTCTATTCCACATATTTGGTGTCAATGAAAATATGATATAGCGACAAGCGCTTGAAGATATGAAGAGGTAAAACAAGATCACAATCTTGCTCAAACACATGGCATGAGCTTCTTTAGAATATATACAACATAAGTAAGAAGACTCTTGAGGGTATTTTCGTACATCGACAATTCTATTTGATTTGATTGGATGGATGCGCCTATTTTTTAAATTTGGTTTCGAAAGATAAAGTGGAATAAAGGCATCATTGTTATCCTCCAAACACTATTAATTTTTAAGGCTGAGTTTGGGAGGAATATAAATGCAAATATGTAGGGTGTAAAATCTTATATTTTGTTTTATTTTGTATGTATTTATACTGTATACATTTGTACTGTTTCCAAACTGAGCCTTAAGGAAATGTGTAAAGGAAATATTTTTGGGGTGTTAATGTCATCATTTTGGTTTTTAAAACAGAAACAAATCTTCTAATATAAAAATTATATGATACATGTAGCATGAGACTAGATGAAAATATATTTTCGAAACAAGAAATTCAAGAACATGTTTTTTTATTACACTTTTGATGAAAACAAAAAATACATAAGCAATGAAGAACATGTTTTTTGTTTTTTTATTTTGAAAAATTATCTATTTTCAAACCATATGGTTTTGATTTATTTTTGAAACTGGCAACAAAAAAAATAATTCAAATTGTAAAATGTCCCCTTAAAGATTTTGAAAAGTCAAGGAAATTTGCAAGGTGCCAACCGGCTGATGGGTAAGGTCTCCTGCTAGTTGTAACGAAGACTTAGAATCAAATCCCGCCTGCAGGGTTCGGGGATCAGCTATCTCATAGGCCTATACCCCCGTTTTGTAGCCCCTCAGAGCAAAAAAATAAAGAAAAAAAAAAAGAAAAATCAAGGAATTTTAAAATCGTCAGTAAAGTGGATGGTGTTTCAGATAATAACACTAAAAAATTAAAACACTTTCCAGTGGCTGGCATTTTTTCTAAACAGAGTCCTGATTGCATCCTCATTTGGACGAAACCATTAGATATATCTGTGGCCAAGATTGTAGTCCCTGCAAAGTGGTCCGAAATGGAATTATCAGTAAAAAAACGAAATGGAATTAAAGAGTCCATTACAATGAATCAATTCCTCTAACTAAATGTAGTTCCGATCAAATAATCTTACAAGGACAACCTTAGCAAATTCGAAGTGCTCCAATAATGCTTGATCACTCCTGATGATCAATACACCAACCCCCCCTCTCAAAAAAAAAATGTTTACTAAGAAAAAATCATTTGTTTGACTTGTTCATGGATTAAGTAGCCCGATGGACTGGTCTGGTCCGGTCTATTTATTTTTTATTTTTTATTTAGAGATCAGAAGGAGAGTCCGACCTATTATTTATTGGGTTGGACAAAATTTTAGGCCCATGGGCTCAGGCTCATGCTTTAAACACCAGACCCAATTATTTTTCGTAAGGCTTTTTCAAATAAGTACAACCCGACAATATTACATACAATAAAAATATATAAAATATGAATTTATTAAATTATTACCATTTACCAATTTACAATTCAGTAAATAGGAAGTAGTCTATTAATTTATTAAATTATAGGACATTTTATGTCAATACTCAAGACTGTACTAATTGATAAAGAGGCAAGCCAGATTCAAACCTGACCTATAAACAGGTCTATATGCAATTACTATTATTTTTTTCTTGGTAATGGGCTACACAACAGAGAGGTAGCCCTCCCCAAGAGGCACCAGACGGCGGAATTGGTCTCCGACATTTCAGGCTTTCAGCCACCTGACTCAGAAAAATAACCTGAAAGCTTCACATCACAATTCACAAACAAGAAACTGATGAAGGCTTACATGTCTAGAGCACTTTCTAGCTGGAGGAAGAAATGGAGATGGAGAAATGAGTTGTTTCTCAATATCAATACTAGAAAGCCAATCAGTCACACTGCACAGTACCATCCAATTCATTCCAGGTACGATAATCATGTTGGCCCCTGTTGATCAGCTAACACCGAAAATCTCCACCATCAAATCTGTCAGATGACTCCATAAAATCAATGGTCCATCTTAGTTTTCAACGGTCCACATGGCCAAAGTAAAATGAGGCAAAAAGTTCGCAGGACCTGAACAGTAGAGAAACCAGAGAGGCAGAGAGGCATACATATGATACATAATGCGAAAATCAAAAGCTTTTCTTATTTTCTTTTGACCAATCAAATAATTTTCTCCTTCCAACTGAGATGATATGATGAGAATTGGGGGCACACATGTGATTGTTCTGTACCATTATACTTTTCAATAACACGCTTCTCACCTTTTATAGAGGTGACATGCAGTTAAGTCCATAAAATTTGTGGGCCCTCCCTATTATAGATTTGATAATCTAACCCCAGAGCTATTTATGTTTCCTTCTGTTCTTTTTACTCTCCCAGATCCCAGCCAAAACTAATTAAGGGTGTGTTTGTATTGTCATGTAAAAAGCAATTTCTGTGTTGCGGCCTGTGGGAGCAGAAAATATCACTTCTCTCATATAATTAGGTAGGTAAATATCTTCAATTGGTTAAGAATACATGAAAGTAATTAATCTGATTCTTTTTTTTTTATCGATGGAACAGTAGTTGAGGATGTTCACTTGGCATGACATCACTTATTCCAAAGTGGAGACATGGGATATCAACCTCGTGGAGGGTGGAACTGCATGGTCAGTGGGGCACTCACATTTTTTCCCACCACAGACTACTCCATGCTCTAACATCTACTGTTGAATTATGAAAATTTATATGTATATTTGAATTTATGGCTTTATTTTATGGTATGCAAAGTAAGACCCTCATAATTTGGAGTCAATGGGTTTCATGTATTTTACCAAAAAAGAAACGGGTTTCACGTATTTTACCAAAAAAATATCTCTCACACTGATTTTTCTTTTTTCTTTTTTCTTTTTTTTACCTAGCCCCAATCCCAAGAATTGAGCTTAGGCTGAATTTTGATGTATTTGGGTTGGGCTTGGGTTAAGATAAGGTTGAATTAGGTTTATATCATTGTGGAGCTGCATAGATTAAGAGATATATGGAGAATTTTATTACAAACCGTGATGGCATATGGCATCATTTGCTTTACTGTACTTATCCATCAGTGTCAAGGCTTTTAGCATATGGTTGGGTATGTATCAAATTAAAGGGCATAAAGATATGATTGGGTATGTATCAAAATCTTTTACTACAAACATACATACACACATAGAAGATTTGAAGGGTAAAAAGAAGAAAGGGACATGTCATAACTCATAACCCTCATCGGAGTTAGGGAGCATTGTCAGAGTCAAAAGGTTGGAAACTAAAATATCGTGTGTTCAAATTCGGTTGCTATGGAGGCTAGGGTTTTCAACAATTCCTCCCAAATATGAATTTTTGAATGACAGACACCCTTTCATGTAATTTATGTCCAGGAAGCTTTGGAGTCCTACTCGACCCCTGCTCGCTTTAACTGACCCAAATTGCAGAAATGGGTTTTATAGTTTTCAATCTCCCCACTCTCACCCCCAACTCAATTGACCCAATCCATAGCGAAATAGGAATGAAAGCAATCCATTTCCTTTTCTTCTTCTTCTTCTATTCTTTTCATATTTTACTCTTCTTATCAGTCTCCCTAAAAATGCTATATGCCATCACTGGTGCAAAAAAAGTGCCTCTTTGTTAATTCTTACCAAACAGTTCTACAAGTCAAAAGTGCTTTTTTTCCGAGAAAAAAGAAAGCTGCTCAATAAGTGGGTAACAACAAGTGTCTCCCAATTTTTTACTTTTATTTAGCCACATAAAAATGTCACCAAAGTTATTTGCTTCTTTAATTGTATATCTGTTGTTTTACATTTCTTTTTAATTTTTTTCTTGTAAAATGTCTCCTGATCAGAACAATTTAAGTTGCTTGTTGTACACTTATTTCAATGACATAGAGGAATCTTATGGTCGATAGGAATCGTTCATAGAGCTCTATGGAATATTACCCATGTGCTAGCTCACTCATGCACTTTACATCAATAGACCTATCTCACACCTTAAAAGTTGTAATTTTGGAATCCTGCTGGTTGATATCCGCATTCCACAGTATCATTCCTGACTTTTAGGTTGAGTTTGGCTTGAAATATAAGGTAGGGAAAGGAAGGGATGGAAGTTTCCCAACCTTTTCTTTCAAACCAAACACAGTCTTAATTTTTTAATTCAAAATACCAACACCCCATGTATTTTGAATTAAATTCGTGGCAACATCTTCAACCCAAACAAGTTTCTACGTGGAAGATCACAGTTTTCTTTTCTTTTCTTTTTTTATTTTTTTTCCGGACTGCCATGGGAGATTGATTCTGGGTTAGCAGACTGGTGACGCGGTTGTTCTGAATTCTGATTTTATTTCGAGTGTTTGCATGTGAAAATTAGCATCAACCAAACCAAACAGGAAAATGTGGCAACAGACCTACCTGTTTCTCATGCAAGCCTTAATCCCCCAAATCACAACCAAGTGTCAACAAATTCCCACGCGTCAATCTCTCCCTTTCTTTAAATACACCTCTTCTCTCTCCCCTCTCTGATTCCCAACTCAAGTCTCAATAAAAAGAGTAAACCCAAGCGCCCAGACCGGGAAACCACTTTCTCACCCAGTCAATCGAAAACCCACCACCCATCTCATGGCTACCACCCAGCAACCAGTAAACATCTTCAACAGCCTTCTCCCTGATAAGGGTCCTTCGAGCTTCCAAGTCATGGCTGTGATAGCATTGTTCCCCATTGGTGGTTTCCTACTCGCCGTCGCCGGCTTAAGTTTAACTGCCACGGTCATCGGCCTTGTAGTGTCGACGCCACTGTTGATAATTTTCAGCCCGGTGTTGATCCCTGCAGCGACCACTATTGGGTTAGCGGTGATGGGGTTCCTTACAGCGGCTGCGTTCGGGCTGGCAGCATTGTCGTCTTTCTCGTGGATCCTGAATTACTTGCGTGGGAAGCGAGCCACACTGCCTGAGCACTTGGACTATGCGCAGCGGCGCATGCAGGAAGCAGCTGGATATATGGAGCAGAAGGCGAAGGACATGTCGACCCAATGATCCAATAGTCAATGGAACCCAAACCAAGCGAAAGAAGGATCGAGTGGAGGAGATGGATTTTCTATGTTTTGCTGTATCTGTTTTTTCTTTGTTTATCTCTAGCTGTTTCTGTGAAGTTAATTTGTAACACAGACGCGAGTGATCAGTTCGGTCAATTATGCCATTACAATTCGCAGATCGATCGATGCATGGTAGCTTGCGATCACTAGTTCGATGATCTGCATTGCATGCTTTTCAAATCATTTTCTTGTCTCGGGATATGGACACGTAGTAGAGATGAAGTGATAGACAAAGGCGCACATACATGGGGAATGCGAGGATGAAACAGTAGTTTGGGAGTCGGGACTATGATGTCATGGAGGACCACGGTACCGCTGAACTCTTCTCTGTTCTCTCCTCTCTCCATGATCAGTTTGTCGTCTCCCCACACCCACATCAATCTATATTCACACAGTTTTGGGTTCGGGAAATATTTGAAGTTCTGTTTGGAAGGATCGATATGGCGCTTGTTTGCCCTGGTATGGAAATGGAACGGTCACTGTCTGTGTCCTGTGCTGTCCTGATCGTATAGAGCCAATTGTTAGAAATCCCTCGATTTGAAAGAGGAAAGGCACATCGACCCTTAAATTTGCCGCAAATGAACTGAATCCGATTATTAGGACTTAGGAGGTGTCATTTCATGAGGACTAAGGAGAAGAGGCAGCAGGATTTCAGTGTCCTTCCAAGCAGAACCTCAAAAAAGTAATTAAAACGAAACGCCAGCTGATCAGTAGCTGTTCATTCCTGTTTGCATCTTAAACGTCCAAGTCATCCTTCATGGAATCCTGCAAATTCATGTCCCATTACTGATTCCTCGTGCTGTGCGTTCGGCTCATGTGGGCGGTATCGGTGACGGTGAGGCAACGTACAGTGTGGCCGTGTCCCCATTCCCCAGCCATCAGCTGCTTCATAAAAGGTGGGTTTGTTTCATATAATCCCCGTCGGTCCCTAGCTACTTAGCTATGTAGGTTGAAACGATAACTGTGGCCTCGGAAATGTTTCCAAGAATGAATCCTGAAGACTGAAGAGAGAGAAAGTACATACTTCAACAGTTCAACCCAACCTTCATTGGGTTGAAACTTGAAAGCATATAATACCAAAAGAGGTACTAGCATTTTTTTTAACCCCGATTGATTGCACTAGATCTGTTGCCTGTTGGAGACCAGAATTCAGCCCATCTTTCATTGGGTTAGCTCCTGTTCATACCAATCTGGTTCAAAAAGTTTCGGCATCGAAATCAGAAAATTTCTTATTCGTTACTCAGGGCTGCCTGCTCCTTTTTATGTTATTCACTTCCAATGACATGCAGTTTCTCCCTCATGAACACCACTTTCTTACTACTAGTATTTTATTCCTTCCGACTTCCGTAGGCTCAAATAAAACAGCAAAACAGTGTCAAATGACTTCATAATGTTGTACGCCATAAATTGTTACTTAAACATCATTTTGCAACGCAAGTGTGATTCCACCAGAAAGTTCTAACTGAAATGCCTCAACCTTTTTTTTTTTCCTTCTCAAGGTGTTCCTAATTGCATATAACATGAAACCAAACTCTCAGACCCTCAGTTGTAAAATTCGATAAATAACCTCAATTCGAGTGTAAGATGGTAGAAATGAAATGGTTCAAGGAAAAACCTAGAATTAGTCCAAATACCCAGACTTTCAACATGTTATTATATACATGTTGCATATGTGGGCTGAGCTGCATGCAAACTATAAAATGATTGCAGCATGCTGATCTTTCCAGCCTAGGCAACAGCATCCACCAGATCTGAAATTTTGTTGGTTTGCCGTTTTATTCAATACCGTGTACTGATAATGAGACTTGAGTTAATCTTTTTCTTTCTCTCAAGTACGGTCAGGTATATGCACAAAAATCCAAAATGAAGACAATGGAGACTGCCTTAAAACTCATGTTGATGGTTATCACCCGGGAAGCTACCCTTTGAAGCATATAAAGCTAGGCCATCTCAAAATTTCTCATTGCTTTCTTATTTTCGAGATTCTTGTAATCATCCATCTATACGATTACAAGGCAGACTGCAAGTATTTTCGATGGAGTCATCTAAATAATGTCCAACCCGAATTGCAACTAGTGATCTCAACCATGCCCACCTGGTAAATATACAACCCTCGGCAACTCTACCCAACCAAAGGTCATATCCTCTTTTCAAATTTTGAGTCCTCAAATCATTTCCCACTACCTCAATGTGACATCCTGGGCTGCCACTCAGCCCCCAAAAAAACTCCTTCCTCACCCATTCAAATTTTGGCAAAAAGCTCTACCCGAGCCCGGCCCATGAACAGATGATCTTGAACCCCTTTAGCCCACAAGTCAGTTAACTCGTTCAATGATCTGTGAACCCGGAAGAACAAAATATTCCCTATATATGCTTAAGGTTTAGGTTCTCCGAGAAGATTTGTGAGTAGTAGCGGTAAAAGAAATGTAACCGAAAATTTGTGTGCTAGATCGTTGTGTCCAAAATGTAACCGAGTAGCTGCTATTAAAATAAGAATTAGGATTGCTTCGTACAGAAACTTTCGGTCTATCTCATGTGAAGGTCTTCAATTTGGGGAATAGAATTTGAGACATTGCAAGGACCATCCTTCTATCGCTAACCAAAAAAAGAGCATCCTTTTAGCAAACAACCCACATAGATTGGCAGAGATTGCATATGAGCTTGGGACTAAGCAGAAACTCAGAGAGGGAACTAATGGTTGGTAAGATATCTAGATGCTAAATTAAACATCTCGGCTTCAATTTCAGGACCAGAACTTTTAATTAACTAAGCCAGTTTATTTATTGTATACAATTACAAGCTCCAATGTAACTTGTAATTACTAAAAATAAGGCCATATTTAGGGCTCAATGCTATGCTAACAGGCCATCAAAAAAATCCGTTTCACCTTTTGTCAAATAATTGTATACTTGGATAGATCAATGTATAAAGAACATTATCTACAAGTCTAAAGCAAACAGATGCCTGCAGTATGCTAGTAAAGGCGATTAGTGAACATGCATGAGAAAATACATCGTTCTGTAACTGCTGGTAGAAGTGGTCCTCCATACAGAATGGTACAAATGGATCGCATGCAGCAAATTGGATGCCTCCCATCTCAAGATACCTTCATAGAAAGTCCAACAAAAAATAATTCCCACAATCTAAACTACTTTTATCAGCAACCATAAAGATATTGCAGTCTTTGGACTGTTGGCAAACAAAGCTTTTATCTATTATTTTTATTGGGACTTGGGGAATCTACAAGTTGAACTATCTGCAAATTGCAAGTTAATAAGCATTATACTGGAATTTTGATGTGGATATCCTAATTCCAACAAATAGGTCTCCCTAACCCATTGCATGCATCCCATGCACACCAGAGTTGGGCTTCTTCTTCCTGCCCTCAATTATAAAGTAAATATGTAGTTAAACAAAATTATAAAGTAAATGTTCTTCAAATGCATGTTGTGTATTTTTTTATACTACCATATCCAGCTTGAGAAACCTCCCTTCGAAATGATGGAAATAGCGAGGAGGTTTCTGATGAGAAAGATGCAGCAAACCTACCAGAGATGCAAGAAATTGCTGCAAAACTGTCCCCAGGTCCTGGTGACCTCATTGTCATAGGGTGGTGGGAAGCATCACTTGGAAGGAGCAGCCGGCTGGCTATTTAATAGAAAAAAATGAAAATCACATTCATTCATATAACCAAGGATTCCTGGGAATCAGTAATATGATATATCCAAAGATGAGTTAATTATGCTTTAAAACTTTAGGAATACGATTTTTGTTTTCTGATGTACTGAGACATTCAACATACATGACATGCTCAAAGTTGTTGCACATGGAATTTTGACCCACTAAAACTACTGGCATTGCCAAAATGTACTTTGTTGAGTAAAAAAGGCATATGAAGTGGAAAGAAAGATGAGTAATTTTCCTTGAAATAATTACAACATAATTGTGCCGTTTCCACTTGCCTTGTATTGCAGAACAAAGCTCTGGCTTATAGCATATACTGTGAGGGATCAAGAAATGAGTGAAATACCGATGTTTAGGTTAAGAAACATGTTCCACCTATACTCCAGCATCAACATCAGCAGCGCCGGATTCTGCATTCAACTTTGAGTAGTTAGGTATCCAAAATGTAAGAGCAGTGGATGCAGCAACGAACATGGCTCTGCGGGGAGCCCACTTCAGGCAACTTGATACACCAATATGACTATTCCAGCATGCAACCTGTAAGAGGAATCAATTAATGACCACATCCCCATCCACTATACTTGGTTTAAAAATGTGGCTGAAACAAGTAGATTCAACACTTGAAGAGATCCTTATCCCTTGTCAAATTCAAGCAATCCATCTTAATGAAAACACTATGTAATAACGGTGTCAGTACCAACAATTATAGGTAAAGAATAGGGATGGAAGGAGTTAGGCCAGGATTCAGACATCACCAGCAGGTGAAGTTTGTCTACATCAAGAGCTTAAATGGAGGTTGTGTACTATTTTAGATGTAGTGGTGGTTCTGTTTAATGATTCGTTTTCTTTCATTTCTTCATGTGAGAACAAGGGACTAGGATGCCCTTTTCTCTGTAAGACACAGATTTTTTTTTTGGGTGTGAAACAATGTCTCTGACCCATTTTATGTTTTTTTCCATTTCCATGGTCCTGTCACCCTCTCCAGCTCACTCCACACCTCACTTTTTCATGAAGTCAATAAGGTTTAGTTGGAACTAGGTTCAGTATGGTAGTCACGGTTATGATGACATCACACCAAACCTGAGCCATTGCCATCCCTAGCACAGACTAGTCCAATGGTAACAGATAACCCTTTTAGTACAATGGCAGAACAAAGCATATTTTCATTGTTAATGATCCATAATGATTTTTGAAGGTAAACAAAAAATATTTAAAAAAAAAAAACACAAAGTACAAGAAAGGTGACCTGCAGTCATCCGAGAGAAGAAATCAAACGTACAGCTGCCCCAACTGAACTCCACCCCAAGACAACGCAAAAGAAATACTACCCTCTAAAAACCAACTGATACATCTACAAACCCAAATGAGGAAAAAAAACATAAACCAACACCAGACTTCCTACCAGCCATTAACAATCACCACCACCCCCCATAAGAACTCAACTCCATTTTAACTTTATAAGCTACTTGTACAAAAACCTCTCTGCTTCTCTTGGAACATTTCTTTGATTTCATCACCTTCTTGTTAGAACCCATGCGGCCATGCCAAATAAACCCCCCTTTCAGCCTAGAAAAAACTTTCAAGACCTGCACCATTTGAATATTTTTCTGCTTTCTGAAGTATTTTATAGCATTAGGAAGTTCCTCGAGATCCTTAAACTTCTTAGGGCTTGTATTAATTCTCCCCAACTCCAAAACCACATTCTTCTCAAAGATCTGCTCTACCATCTTCTCACCTTCCTCGTTGTCCATATTGTCTGCATCTTCAGCTGATAGAAGTCCCTTGTAAGCTTCCTTCACCCTTACAGTAACACCGTCTTTTTCACTTTTCAAATTAACTTCCACACATCTTTTCAAATTAACTCCCAACTCCATCCCCCACTCTCTTCTTGCCTACCACACGACATCTATGGCTTTCATTTAGTTGACCAGGGCCGTTCACTATCACACCCACCAATGCCATTGATGCTGGATTATCCTTCATCACCCATAATGACCCATACTTGGTATCTGCTAAATAATGTTAACAGCCTACAGTTCTATTCTCTTTTTTTTTGTAATAAAATAAAAATTATTAAAAGGAAAAATGAAATTACAGAGGAGAGTGACCAGAAGTCACTCGAGAGAGTGAGAGAGGAGGAACAAAACAGAACTTCAAGACTCAAAAACAAGTACTCCAAGCCAGCATAGCCTCAAAAAGACCAGCAGAAACCAGAATCCACATAATCACCACAAGACAAAAGCCCCTCAACAGAAAAGGATCCCCAAAACAGCCCAAAGACAACTCAAAACTCAAAGCCAACAAGGACGAAAACCATTTAAAAAAACCCCCACAAACACACATCTAAACTCAAAAATAAACCAAAGCCAAAACCAACTCACAAGCTACAACCTTTGATCCGCTAAAATACTAATATCTTCTTACAGTCTTCTTGGTCTTCAGCAACTTCTTATTTGGTCTAATCCCAAAGAGACTTCCTTTTAGTCTAGCAAAAGCCTTTGGTTCATGACATTTCTATATTTTCTTTGTTTTTTAGGCTGTGTTTGGTTGCAATGCAATTTTATTTGCACTAGTACAAATGCAGGGGAGTACAAATGAAAAAAATGCAAATTCTCGTTTAATTTTGTTATGGGTTTTACTTTATTCTGCTTCATGCCTTAATTTACTTCATTTGTACTGCAATCAAACAAAATAAGTTAAAATTTGAAACAAAAAATAGGTCAGAATTTACATTCAAATCATTTGCACTGCCATAGTTTTGCATCAGTGCAAATTTATTTGCATTGCAACCAAACACACTTAAGTCTTCTATTAGCTGCAACAATCTTCCTGGACTCCAACGAGCAAGAAGATTTCTCATTAATCCTTCCAGCTCCAGGACCGTGCTCTTCTCAAAAAAACTGAGCATCAACCAATGCCTATAGTTCTATTCTCGTGATATCTCTCATATTTACATGAAAGTAAATAATGTAAGCATTTTACCAAAAAAAATAAGAATGTTAATAAATTTCAAAAACTCAACCTATTTCATATTATTATTATTTTTTGATGAGTAACCTATTTCATATTATTGTACAAAATTTACAACACTTGATGAACATTTTGAAGAAATCTCAAACAAAAAAATGGTGTAGGATTGGAAATTTGAAACTTTAACCTTGTTGCACTATAATCACAATAACATATATTTCTTGGATACAGGACCAAAGCAGAACCTTACCTCATTTCTCTTGTTGATGCTCCATGCATGCAAGGTCCCATCTCCTGATCCTGTTAAGGGTAGAGGCAAAATAAGTTTGAAACATGAAGAGAGAGAGAGAGAGAGAGAGAGGATAGAATTAAAAGCTTTACCTGAGACCACATATTGCCCGTCTGGAGTAAATGTTGCCTCTATACTAGTACCTGGAGATGGTTCCAAACTGAAACCACAACGCTGCATTCATGATAAACCAAAAATATAGGTTCAATGAAAATTTTATTTCAATAATATCACAGCCATAGAACATCAAACAACTGTAAGCTGACTCAGAATTACTCTATGGCTTTACCCTTTAACCCAAAACAAAGCACAACATCATCGTCCAAGTGAACTAACCTTCTCTCCTCCATATGCATCAAGAACATATATGTTGTTATTTGTTGTTGTCAAAAGCATAGATTTGCCATCATTGCTGAATTTGATATCACAGACTTCAGCTGTATCTCCACCAACTAAAAAGGTGTCAAATGGACCCTACACGTTGAAGAAAACAATTAAAATCCCCTATAAATGGTACTACATGTCAAGTGTTACATTCATGGTAAAGACCTTATCATAGGAACGTGAATCAAACAATTTAATAGCACCCCCTTCCATTGCGACTGCAAAAACAAGTCCCTGTTGATCATATGCAACAGTAGGCCTACCACGCAAACGCAGGAGTCCCTGAAAACTATAAAAGTAAGCATGAATCACAATTGTGTAATTACATTGTCAATTTGTCAGACAAAAAGGTGTCATTCCTCTCAGTCTTAAATCATTAATTTGCTCAATTAATGGTACAAAATATGGGAAATGCACCCTCACCATTAGGTAGACTAAAGGACAATATACCAACAATTTACAAATAATGCACAGAAAATGGAGTTGGACCCATTAATTGTTGGGATTGACATTAAAAATCTCCTAGAAAGATGTTGATCCATCATCCATCACAGAACATGCTCTCTGCCAATTTACAAATAATGCACAGAAAATGGAGTTGGACCCATTAATTGTTGGGATTGACATTAAAAATCTCCTAGAAAGATGTTGATCCATCATCCATCAGGACGATCCTAAACAGAACATGCTCTCTGCTTTTCTGTAGGGGTGTAACTTGGGTACCCAAGTTGAAGTTTTTACTGCATTGGGCTGGGCCCATTCAAAGCTCAACCCAAGCCCACTGCCCACCCAAGTTGCACCATTACATTTTTGTTCTAGTCATTGTGTACTGATCTGTTATTGCTATGATGTTCTCATTGGTTAAAGACGGATGCCCTAGATTTTTTCACCCCATGGATTTTTAAGAGCTTTAAAAGAAACAATACACCAACCTGGCAGGCATTTACACGAAGATCCCATATTCGGACACTGTGGTCAAGTGAACCTGACATGAAGCTGTCATTAATTGGAGACATACAGAGTGAAACAACTCTACAACCAAAACATAAGAATTATGTTAGAAACTTATAACAAAGTATTAACATATCAAATTAGTACATCCATATAGGCATGTACATATGCGCAAGCAAGACACACATACAGTAAAGACCATCATCATTGCCTTGGTATGTTTTATTTACTACTCAAGATATTTTCCAATTGTCAGCTGAAAACAAATATATGTGTGCATGTGTGTGGAGAGGAGATACAGATGGATGAATGGATGCATTTGGATTAAGGTGGATTTGGAATTAGAGGCCTAATTGGATTTGTCAATTCCAGGAATCTTCAGATTCCAGAGTTTGAGTAATGCTTTTTCAACACCATGAAATCAGTGAAACATGAAAAAGAGGTTGTAAATTCTGCATTTTAGCAGAAATTGAAATAATGCCAGGAGAATGTTATTTCATTTATGCAGAATTGAAATGGAAAAACAATTCAAACCCAAGCTGTTCTATGATCCAAAAGCAGCCTATAAAAGACAGAAGCATTAGAAGAGAGTAGTCATACTGCTACACAGGATAATTATGTATAGTCCTTAAACTTCCTACACCCCATCAAATGTTGCTCTGCACTAAGGTGCAGCAAAGCATTGAAAACTGTTTTTTTTTTGGATTTTTGGGGTGTAATTATAGGGCATTTCCACTTTAAGACATTCTTAGAGGCACAAACGGGCAGAAATTACAAGTATATTCTAGAAGGAGAGGAAGGCCACATCAGCATAGTGGAGCCATTACAAAGACAGCTGGAGTAACTGAATCGAACATTTTTTTTTTTGATAAATAAACTGAATCGAACAAGTTGGCAAGTTGTTATAATTCTGTTGCAAGTCAGTTACATTAGAGGCAAGATGAATATAAAACAGAGGTGTACTTACAATAAAGCATAATAAAGACTCTCTCTCTCTCTCTCTCCACCTTTGTCTTTCCTTATTAGGAGGCTATCCTCCCTCGAAGAGGATCTGAGTTGGGCAGCTACCCAACAGGCACTAGTGAGTATGGTTTGAAGCCAGAAATCTTCCCCTTTAAAAATAATAAGAATCCTAATTACTTCTTTTATTCCTTAGTATTTTCTTTCTAGCTGTCATTGGGATACAAACACATCTTTATGTATCTTACATACAAGGAATCAGAAACACCAACTAAGAGGTGCAAGAATGTCCAATAACATATTCATTCAAATAGGAAAGATATTTAAAGAAAAGTGTCCTACAAGTATAAAGATGTGAATGTGTGTGTTGGAGAGAGAGAATTTGCACAAATAATAGTTGAATCAAAATTCAAGTGATTTTATGTGTATACCAATAGTGATCTATAACACTTTTTACTTTTATTTTTCAACTTGTAATCCACATTGTGGTCACTCAAATGTATCATATTGGAAAATTACTCTCTGAGATGGCTTACAGCATTAACAATATTTGCATGCTACTAACAGGACACGAAAATAATTATAGAAGAAGAACCTCTCTTTGTGCCCTTTGAAGTAGCGGAGGCATCGATTATCATACATGGAAAGATACCGCAAGGACTCTGCAAAGGAGAGGAAATGAAAAGAAGCAAATGCCTTCATCTCTTAAGATGACAACAAAATCACACTATCTAGTCATAAAATTTTCTTTCAGAAACTTACCATCATTGGAATCCATTTTGTATCTTGATGAACAAATAACAGAGCTTGGGTGGTGAGTAAAGCATATACGATCAGCACCATGCTTCTTATGATATGTGGTCTTCAACAACCTGAAGATTATATTCAAACAGTAAAAAGAAGCATGAGAAGAAGGGAAAAGGAAACAATTAGCAACTACTTCAAAATGGCAGACAAGTTGACCACATCTTTGACTATATATAAGTACTCTCAACTGGTAATTGGTAAAGCAAAGGTGTTCTGAAGTTGTCACAATATCTTTATCATATAATACTGATACTTACCTTGGACTCACATCAAGACAACTATACCAAAATTTTAGTCACTTTATTTCTCTCTCTTTCCTCTTGTACGCACTCAACTAGTCACCCAGTAACAAATAAAGAAAACTGTTGACAGGACTTATCCCACTCCAGGCCATTATAAAATCTGGAAGAAGAAAAGGACAGCAAAACACAAAGCAGCCTAGGATCTCTAGGTACCAATATAACTTAAATATTCATTTATTTCACCAAGGCAAACCTAACCGCTAAAACCTTAAAACGTTTGTATGACCACTGCTTTGTATGATGGTAAAACCTCAGGCTGACAAGCATGAGAATGAAATTTCATGTCCAAGGGCAACCAGATTGTGCAAAAAAAAGGAGGCTAGGACCGTACTCAGTCTACTCCCAAGACCCAAGTAGCCAAGACCAGAATTTGAGTGCTGGTGTTTTTCGGAAAAGATAAAAAAAATGATTAAGCTTTGTCCACACAATCATGCTCATGCATAATGCAATCTCTTTTTCCTATTCTTATTCCCACCCCCCTGATCTTTTCCTTTCTTTCATGTGGTAAATTAAACAATATAAGAACAAATTAGAAAGGTTTTCATTTTCTCATGTCAGACATTGAAAATTGATTTTCTTTCCTTTTTTGTTTCTTTCTTAAAATGCACAGAACTCATCATCCACTTGGGTCCTCAACCAAAAAAACACCCTAGTTGATGATCTTGCTAGAGAGGAAGCACTTGGAGATTCTTTGTATTGGGGGTCGCATGCTCCCTCCCAAGACGCACAATTACAGCAGTTCTGTTGTATTTGGGATGGTATATGCAGGGGTGGAGAGTGGCAATAAGGCTAGCTCTCATAAAGAAGAGAAAAAAAAAAAAAAAAAAGCGCACGCTAAGCTCAAAAACCATGCAGATCCTACAGTACATATATAAGATTTTTTTTTTAAGTATTTATCAAAAAAAAAGATTTTTTTTTTTGAAAGAAAGTACATATATAAGAATATTATGGTTGTACTGTGATGAATTGCACCTTTTATTTCGATATCCTTCATCCATCAAACTTTGGCAAAAGGATTGCAAAATTCTAAGTTGTAAAGTAAGTATTTATAACCAAAGCTACATGTCAAGTTAAAATCAATAGCCAAACAGGCAGCAAACCATGACCTCACAAAATTTTACAGCATTCCATAAACATACCCAGCCACCTATCAATTAGAAACAACCAAAACAATCTCCATCATTACCAAAACTTAGAACTCAAAACAGCAACTAACTCCCCCCTCTCTACTAGACTAGATCATATCCCCCCCCCCCACACACACACACACAAAAGAGAAAGAAAAGCAGCGCCAGCAGGGCCAATTAAAAGCCTGCTTTTACACATCTAGTATGCTGACAAATATTCCATGATAGTCTACTAACCCAATAACCCATGTATCAAGATGTTTACTTGCAGGCCATTTGAGGACACTGCATTGCAGGTGCATTAAAGACTAATGTCAGTATCACCAATAGGCTGAGATTTGGGAAATTAACTGTTTTTTTATTATACTAGCACACTTACGTAGCATTTGCAATGTCATAGAGCCGCACAGAGTCATCCTCGCTAGCAGTAACCAATAAATCCTTGGTCCGATGAAAATCAATTGAACTTATCTTCCCCACCTGAAAATCAAAATGGTAACTTTGGAGAAATTTAAATGTTGCAATAATAATGTTTACTAACTGGAGAGGATGAGACAATCTTTATCATGATAATCAACAAAATCTTTCTTTTATGGCCCTTTCTTGTCCATTTCTTTTTAACACCCTTTCGATTATAAATTGTTTCCTATCAGTATATATATATATATAAAGAACAAAATATCAAACCATGGCATTCTGAATCAGGTAATTGGTTAGTATAAATGAGGATTCTTGAGTCTAAGGTAGTTAATCTTAGTTTCAATAGTGAATTAGTTTAGCTTGTAGATCAACAGAATTCGGAATATAATTTGTCTGTGCCATTTCAAGTGTTCTTAAGGAGTTATGCACACCAAGCAGTGAATATCAACAAATATACTTCACTTGTCTTTTCAATATTGAATTCGTTTCATTGTAAGACAGATTCCAAAACTTGAAGAATCTACTCTTTATCCTTCTTGAAAAATATATACATATATAAAATTAGAATTGTACAAAAAAAATACACGTGTGCATATAAATAACAAGGAAAATAGAATTAAGCAATAACTTACAAAGTCTGAAAAAACGGCTCCGATCGACATATTATGTACGGTCTCATCGTCCAGTTCTGTTATCGACATCGTCATGGCTGATTTCTGGGAACTACAAAAAGATTAAAATGTATATAAATTAATGAGATTAAAATAAATCAAGTATCAAGTTTTTGCTAGATGGGGAAAACACATAGAAAACTGAAATAGAAAAAAAAAATGTTGTGAATGTAAAATACAGAGGAGAAGATTTATTAGGGTTTAAGAAAAACATATAGTGCTTACTCTGAACGTAATCGGCTAAAAATCTAATTTAAATGCTCACTGTGAATTAAAGTCTCTCAAACGAAATCAAAGGATGAGAGCAGAGCGCTTCGGTGTTTCAAGCGAAGGTCCGAAGGAGCAGAATATTAATCTTCCGTTTCTTCTGCTGCTGGCGGAAGAAGAGAAACGCGGAAAGAAACCATCGAAGTGCATACTGTATAGTGTAGTGCGTACGGTATTATGTGCTTACTCCGTTACCCGGTAACGTAAATTTTAAAATGACAAAAAGACCCTTTATAATCAGATTGGCGCCCAACAGAACCTCTCACCCGTGTATTGGGAGTGTTCTCCATGCACGCTGAGATGTGAATGTAGGGGGTTTGTTGGGGCGTCGGTTCATCATGTGTCAAGCCTCCGTCGAGCAAATTGGACCATATTTGAAATCAAATGAAGAGGAATATGTATATTTGATATAGATTTTAGAGAGTAGGTCTCAAGGTGGAAGTTCATATCCAAATTAGTCCTAAAATTAATCTCCATGAAAATGGTGTAATTTATACCTGAAGTTGGTTTAGCAATGTAGTTTTTTGTAAACTGAGATCCAACTACTTAGATCGAACTAAGGAATATGAGCTTAATATACTTGATTTTTCTTGCAAAAATCGGAGGAAAAATTTATCTATATCAGTTCTAGATAGCTGATGTCAAATTGGCTAAATCTAAGAGATAAAGAGGAGTAGAGAGAACTGAAAACTGCAAAAATATATAGTTTATTTGGTTAGTTTGCCCCTTCCTCTTTTATAATCTCTTATGGGGCTATCTCCTAATCTAATTAGGAGATAATCCAGATTTAAATCAGATCTGAACTCTAATTAGAAATAAACTTTATCTTCTTATAAGAATAGGTGCTTCATACCCAGATTCGTCCAATGGCACATAACAGCATGTGCTAGCTTAATTAATCATATTAATTATGGGCCTTAGGCTCATCAGCTATAAAGCTCACGATTCAATGTGTTGTATGGCCAAGTTAGGCTTGATTTGTATGGTGTGGGACCCCACAATGACCTCACATGAATCCACATGGGTTTGGCCCAGCCTCTATGAAAAAGCTTGGCCAAATTTATTACTAAGCACAGTGAATTCCTAAGCACATCATTATCGACTTAATATGGGCCCAACATTTACACCTAAATGAACATTGAATTCAACTATCCTATTAAGACTCAAGAATAATGGACTTAAGTAAGATAAAATCCATAAGGTAATCAACACTATAATGATTTCTTACACTTAACATCTCGCCCCATAATGATCAAACACTGCTAGATAGGGAATGACCTCTCCCCTAACTGCAAGGTGCATTGTCACACTCTCTACTTGGATGGGTCTTGAGAATTAAAACCTTTTGCAAATATATTTCATAAAAAAATAATTTATATATATATATATATCATAAATATATTTTGTAAAATCATATTTCAAACATAGTTGAAATTCACTATCGGCAGTTTAGGTTTCCATTAAAGATAGTGTAAATTCTACCATTCACTTTGTTCAACAAATGGGCTAATCCAATCACTATGATCATTCACTCAGGTGAATTCTTAAATTACCCCAGCATACCTAGGTTTTGGCCATTGATGGATTTCATTGGTTGGCATATCAAAGACATCACAATCCAACAACTAGTGTAGTACCATAATCAAGTTTGGGGTTATGTGTAATTTTTCAGTTTTGCCCATTGATCTCCAAGGTTCAGGGCATAATTGGAAAATGGTTTGGGTTCAATATTTCATCCGAACACACACTGTATGTGCTTCAAATATAACAATAGCAACTAAGACAAACTGCCCCAACATCTTTAGCAGTACATCAATGTCAGTCTTGGTAGGATAAACTCCTCAAGTCTATCCAACAACTAAGAACATTATAGATTAACATGAGTCTTATAATAAATGTCCAGTTTAAGGGATAAATACATAGAAGCATACCAATATTATTATGAAACAATAATGTACTTTTATTCATTTGCAATAAATGTATATATACATCAATCTTGTTGGAGCTAAGGGCATACACTATTTAACACCATTAGCATCCCTATATGATATTAGCCATTCTCACCAGGGTTTTGGATTGTTATCGGAACAACTAAATATAACTCAAAAATATAATACATCAATTGGCTTGTATTGACTTGGCTCAATTAGAAATGTCATGATATTCTTTCTATTTGAGGCCCTGTTTGGTTCACATGAATAGGGGTCTAGAATCGGAATCAGAATTGGAATAGGTTATTCCAATTCTAACTATCTGGTTAGGTAGAATGGAGTTTCATTCTCATTCCTATTAGAATGACATTCCCCTATTTGAGAGAATAATGACTATTCTCTATCCCTTTTTTGGGAATGAAATCTCATTACTGTTGATTCCAATTTTCATTCCCATTTCTATTTGAACCAAACAAACAATGGGAATATGCCATTCTAATTATGATTCTAAAAGATTTCGATTCCGATTCCAATTGCAAACCAAATGGACCTTCAAATTTGCATAACAAGGCTCGTGCATTAAGTGATCCCAACTAGTTTCTATTTTAATTTTTAAATATTTCCCTAATTATTAAATGACCAAATTGTCATTTAAGACTGACTAATGGCACATAAAAGTTTTTTTAAAGCATGTGGTACACACAAATGTCTCATATGACTCTAATTGGATTAGATACAAATTGGAGTCCAATCCTATTGATGAAAACATAAATATGAATTCAATCATATTTGAAACCTATTAGAATTTGATTGGATCAAAGTTTAATCCAGCTCCATTTAATTTCTTAAGACAACTACAAATTTAAAATAAAAAATACTTTATAACATATACATAATAAATTAGTATAAATATGAAAATTGCATTTATTATATTTAAACTAGAGAATGGCCACCCCTGTACTATGCATGGAACCAATATTATGATAAATTGTGTTTGGTACCGCTTGTAAATTTAGTTTTTTGTTTGATATTTTTCATATATATATATTATTTAATTTAAGAGATTAATTTAGATTTGATTTATAAACAATAACCTACTTTATGGATCATTGCTTAAAAAAACACTATATGGATCCTACATCATTTGAAATGAGTTTTTTTTATAGTAGAGGTAAATATCATTATTATTTTTTTATGAATGAGGTAACTAAATTTAAAGCTCATATATACTTGTATGAAAAATGAATGGTTCTATGTGAGAGTGGAAATAACCACTCCTGATATTCTTTAGGATAAATTTTTTAAATTATCCTTATGGTTTAGCTAATTGACTAAATATACTCTTACTGTTTGAAAATTGACAAACGCTAACCATAATTGACTAATTCTTCCCTGACCGTTAAGGTCCGTTAATATTCCATCAAAACTCATTTGCACATGATATATTTTCCTTAAAACCCAATTTTACCCTCCACCTCCCTCCCCCCTCTCTCTCTCTCCCCTTCATTTTCCTGTTGGGTTAAGGCACAAAACAAGACATGAAAATCAGCTCATGCTAAAAGGAGGAAGGGTTTCACCGTGCTCTTCATCTTAGTGAAGAGAATCAACAAGAAGAGATTTTCTCTTTCATTGCTGAGAAGGACCTCTTTTCCTAAAATACCATCCCTAAAACCTTTCCGTCTAGTCTTCGTCTCAGTCCCGTAGGGAGGCTTTGTTGTTCATCATTCCAACAGTTTGAAACTCAAAGGCTTTCGACGTAGCTAGCGTGTGGAATAGATCTTAGTTCTGGCGAAGAGATCTCATTAGTTCCAGCATCCTCAAAGGCTTTCTTCTTCATTACTTCTTTATCTGTTTCAAACAAAAGCCTAGAAGCAGATATCTCGATCTTAGTTCCGACGAAGAGATCTTAGTTTCAACATCATCAAAGGCTTTCTTCATGATGGGCTTCAAGCATTGTTGTACGGTCTGAGATTCTTCTTCCTTACTTTTTGAGAAAGCAGAAGGAGAACAATCGTAGAAAGAAAGAGCAAGCAACAGGAGATCTCAAAAACCAAAACCCCTGATGGATTCATGTTGTTCGGTCACGCAGCGGCTTGCATTGTGGGAACAACGGGCATAACTCCCTTACCTGCTCCGAAGCTGTGGCGCTTCTGAATCCACTGATGGATTCGTGTTGTTCGGTGTTCGAGTCACTGAGGGCTTGATTCATAAGACCGTAAGATAGAGCCCTGACGCCTTCGAGTATCAGATTAGATTCCGGTGTCTTTTGCATCTCCCAAGCTTTTTGCTAAAACATCCAAGGCGGTGCAGCCGTTGGCATTTAACACTCCATATATTTTCTTTTTTCTAACAAAAAAATATAATAAATTCATCCTCCATTAGTTGCCGCCCATCAAGATTAAGCTCCATAGTTCAGATCATTGTAACTGTAACATTTAATAGAAACCATTACCGACTAACTCTGGAACTAGTGTTAGAATTCAAACTGATTTTAAGGCACGTGGGGTGCTTGGAGTGTATTGCTCCACTGCCATTATTGTGGTCACCGCGTAGAACACCGTTGGAGTTCAGGTGGGTACAAAAGGGGGACAGAAGAAAAACTGGACGCGGATGCATCCCTCCTCAACCTTTACAGACAAAACTTCGGGTGATTCAAGTCTCCATAGTTAATAATATATAGGGTAAATTTCTTAAAGAGGAGGGCCATGGAAGGTTAGCCATCGCTGGGTTTGAAAGGTTAGAATTTTGAGGAATCAGCTTTTCTTTCCCCTTTTTCTTCTTTTATTTTAAAAATTTGAAGAAGAAGAACAGGTAAAATAGTTTTTTTCATCTTAATGGATGTTTAACAGTATTAGTCAATTGTGTGAAGTAGTAGAAATAGCATTAGTCAATTTTTAAACAATAAAAATACACTTAATCAATTAACTAAGGGTAGCTTAAACAATTTACCCTATTCTTTATTGAAAAATATAATGCTACTTGTTTAAAGGAAAAACCCTTTGAACTGAGAGTTTTATTTTAATATACACTTATATACATATATATATATACATATATATTGTATATTTTATATTTATATATAATTATATAAATTGGTTACAAAATCCAAATTTAATCATCTAAACATGAGATAATTAGACTGAACGTTGGATTGAATATTGGTCATTCATAACCCGTTGAGTTCACGATTTTGTTTAATATTTGTAATTTTTGTAAAGATGAAAATACTTGATATATCAATCTTTGACTAAGCTAGGTCTAACTCCCACGCATTAAAACTTAACTATATATAATGTCGAGACATAAGATAAGCTCTCATTTCACAAATTTTGCAAAGAAACATTTCTTTTTATATAAACATTTTTTTTACAAAGTTTCACAAGATTCTGAAATAATGATTTAGTACAGCTTAAAATCCAGTCCAGTGTAATTTAATTGATTTGGGTTACATTCATTCTCATTTTTCATCGATCCAACAACAGCTTTAACGTCACCTAAAGTCCTAAACAAATGCACCTTTACAAAAAAAAGGAAAAAACTAAAAATGCACAACCTCACAACGTAGGACTGGAATTGAGGAATTCCAAATTACTTGGTGCCCGTTTGGGAGCTGCGCAGCAGCCTATGGCCTTTCGAGGTGGGTCCATAGCTATATGGACAGCTTTAAATTACCGGAGAGCCTAAATCAACTATCGGTCAATTTTCCCAAATGCCTAAATTACCGGACAGCTTTAAATTACTCCAAATGCCTCAAAGCAGCCCAATCAACTTAGCGAACTGTTCAACTCGGCCCTGGATGGCTGGAAGTGGAAGGGCTCAGGGTTGGAGTGCAGTGGCTTTTAGTTGTTTTTTCCTATGTGGGCCTCTTAAGCAATAATGTTTGGTGAAGGATCCGAAGAGCTCAAGGAAGGACTATCCGCTTCAGTTGGCTACTTGGCTTATCCTGTTATCCAAAGCGTTTCAAAGCATTTAAACCAGCTTAGCTGGATCTTCGTCTCAGCCATCCCAAATGGGCCCTTATTGACAGTTACGTCTGGGCTTTGTTACTGGGTTGCACAAAAGCCCGGCCTGATCTGAAAGCCCGTTACTTCATCTAGTGTACGTACATCAAAAGTAAGCGGATTATAGTGGAGCTCCTTGTCTTTCAGACAGGGAGATCTGACTATCTGAGGAAGTCTCCCAATTATTCTCGCATCTTTTATTTCCTTTTTTTTTTTTTTTAAATTTTGTTTTATGCTTATAAGCATAATTCGAGCTTAACTTCCTTTGGAAATTGAAGTAAACGACTGTGAACAAATCAGAAATGATGCAAAAAAACCCTAGAATTTCCGTCTCACGATCCTTCTCATTCATTGAATACATTGAAAACCAGATCCGTCTCTGCAGCCTGATCTGATCTCCGATCTTCTCGAACTTTAGCAAATGGCAGGCGCCGTATCGGCGCTTTTCCTTCTCGATATCAAAGGCCGCGTCCTAGTGTGGCGTGATTATAGAGGTGACGTCTCAGCTGTACAGGCAGAGCGTTTCTTTACAAAGCTTATTGAGAAAGAGGTGAGCTGATAATTTGCTTGTTCTTTCCATGACTTGGATCTCGAATTTTGTTGATTTGGATGAGATTTGGTGTAGATTTGTGTGGTATCCTGAGCTCGTTACATTGATCATGGTGATCGTAGAGTTCACATGGTTTCCGATCATTTTCGAAGACTTCTAATGAAGTTTTTTATTTTCTTTTCTGGACGGAAATTTCTTATTGGTTTGGTTATTCGTAAATGTGAGTTACGTGCGTTTGTCAAGCAATATTCGAGGCTTCTTAGTATAATTGCAATAAATTGTCATTCCAAGGTTCCTTCTATTGATGATTTGAATATGCAGTTTCAATGTGATCTGCTATTCTTTCTGGACAAAGTATGTAATTTAAATGTTCTTATCCTCACAGTTGGTGGGAGCATCTGAACAATGTTTCATCTCTTAACTTCTGTTTTCTTATTCTTTTTGATCTTCCTCAGGGTGATCCAGAGTCCCAAGATCCAGTTGTGTATGACAATGGTGTCACCTATATGTTCATACAGCACAATAACGTATTCCTGATGACAGCTTCTAGGCAGAACTGCAATGCTGCAAGTCTTCTTCTCTTTTTACACCGTGTAGTTGATGTAAGATGTTTGTAATTCTGTTAAAACTATGAAAAACGTTTTGCCTCCAAGTGATGTACAATATTGGAATGCTGTTGTATAACAATGACAGGTCTTTAAGCACTATTTTGAGGAATTAGAAGAAGAGTCACTGAGAGATAACTTTGTGGTTGTGGTAAGTAGATATCTCTTTTTCCTTCTTGGTAACCTACATTGGTGAAGAAAAATAAAATTTGAAACATCACCAGTTTAAGATATTTAATAGCATTTAGGTGGACTCATTGTGATGAATTACTGTTTTGGCAGTACGAGTTACTCGATGAAATGATGGACTTTGGTTACCCTCAGTACACTGAAGCAAAAATTCTTAGTGAATTTATCAAGACTGATGCTTACAGGATGGAAGTCACTCAACGACCCCCAATGGCTGTAACAAATGCAGTGTCTTGGCGCAGTGAAGGGATACGATACAAGAAGAATGAAGTGAGTCCTATTTCCATGCAAATGCTATTGGTGCTTTGCTTTTAGGTTCAATGTGTATCTTAAAAATCTTCTCTAATGTTTGATCAGGTGTTCTTGGATGTTGTGGAAAGTGTCAATATACTTGTCAACAGCAATGGGCAAATAATCCGGTCAGATGTTGTTGGAGCATTAAAGATGAGAACATATTTGAGGTGTGGGTTCATCTTATGCATTTTTTTTCATCTGCATTTATTTAGAATTCGGCATGTTTTATTCTTTCGGGAGATTTATTCCATCACATCTATCCACTTAGAATTTCTCTCCATGTAATTGTTAGAATCCAGTAATCATTGTTACATAAATGTGAAGTGAACTCAGTTTCTGTGTAGGTATTCTCAAATGCAGTGCTAAATGTCTACTATATCAATATAATTGGCCATCTAGGCAAGCATATGATACCAATAACTTATATTATTGATGATAATAGTTGTAACAATTTAATATGATGGTGATCACAGGGTAGCTAATAAAGAATAAACTTCATTTACACAAGAATAAAGTTCCTGAACTGTATCACTGTTCACTAAGATCATTGGAGATCACTGGACTACTGGAGTGTCTTAGAATTCTTAGGCTTGTCACTGGTTTGTATGAAAAGGGGCCATTTCTTGGTGTAATGGTAAAATCTTGGGCTTCATGATAATGTGGATTCAAGTCTTTAAGCAGCCACTTTATGCCTAAAAATGCCAAAGGTTAGGTCTGTTTCCAGTCCACACCTCCCAAGACCCCAGATTGCTGGGACCAACATTGGGATGGTTTTTTTTTTTTTTTTTTTTTAATTGCTGGTTTGTATGAAATAGTAAAAAAGATAACAATGTTATGACTATACATAACCATTCTAAAATATCTGAACAACAAAATTTGCTTGTTTTTTCTTTTAGATTTGAAAATAATATATTAATAAGAAAGGGGAACAAAGCTTACAGTATAAAATTGACATTTCATGAGCAAAACCTGCATTCTCATTACGGATTAATTGGTTATTTGAAAATAACAAAAAAATCTGATTCTGTATCTAGACCTTTGTCCTGCAAAGAGAGAAGGTGACCAGATCGTCCGAGAGAAAAAACAACCCCCAAAATGATCGGACTCCTCAATCACCCCCCAACAACCAACCCAGAAAAAAAATTAAGCCAACCAATCACACCCAACAACCTTAAAAACAACCCTAAAACAAAAAAACAACACAAGACCCCTCTAACAAATGAAATATCAGAGTTCAGAAGCAGTATTTAGGTTTCAAGTTAAGGGTTGTCTTGGTTTGACAGCAAATGGATTAGCACATTTCTCCTCCACTGGTCATGTTGAGTTGTTGAGGTCTAAAATTAGGATCTAGTTCCTTTTTTTTTTTTTTTTACAATGGTAGTTTTATAAGTGGCTTTAGGTGGTTAAGCATTGCAGTCTATGGTATATTACTGAACCATGGAATGTTTTTCAGGTCCCCCAGGCTATATCTTCCCAAGTTCTATGGTGGGGAATTTACTGAATTGCACTCATTGGTGAGGTTTATACCTTATTTATTTATATCAAGGGAAAAATATTTTTTTATTCATTTTGGGTTTCTAGTTCAGTCTACTCCTAGAGTGTAAGTGTTACATCCATAATCCCTGTTTCCTTAAATTGAAATTCCAGTAATCCTTCAATTGCTAATCTACAGAAAGCAATAGTCCAATAGAAAATGAAGGGGAAGCACAAGAGTATGCATAGTTTTCAAGGCGCCAAGGCGAGGCTAGGCGACAGGGGGCGCCTAGTTGCCTAGGCGATGGATTTTTTTATGTAGAAAGCATAGATCCTAGGGTAGTTCCCTAGGTACCATAACCATATTTCCTTAATAATTATTTATAATTTTCATAAGAAAAGTATAGAGTTCATGTTAAAGTATAGAAAATCAACATATTAATGAGAAGAAGAAGAAAAAGAAGGAAAGAACATTCAAAAAATACAAGGTCTGAACCCTTATTTTTGTTATAGGAAAAGAAGAAAAAAAGTAGTAGTAGAAAATGTGTTGATTAGACAAAATTTTAAGTTCTTCCTTACTTATTGGTTCAGGTTTTAAAGTCTTTGAGGGTTCAATACAGCATTTAGCAATGTTTGTATTGATTAAACCCTAACAAATAAGAAAATAATAAAAAGAAATTAGTATATAAACACACAAAATGAATATTTTAGTTTAATAGTGCCTATTTTATAATTATAATGTCAAAAAATAAAGAATAAAAAAGTATTTTATAATACATAGCACAAAACTGCTTGGCGATTAGGTGAGGCGAGCCTTGTCGCCTAGGCGTCGCCTTGACAACTATGAGAGTATGCAATATAAAAAGGCCATTACCCAATGTTGGTCACGTCTATCTGTGGTCTTGGGAGGGGTGGATTGGCTATGAATCTATGTTTTGAATTACACATGCAAACTGCCTTGATTATGAAGACAATCATGGTCAATGAGGTGAATTGATTGAAAAGTTGCCATCTGTTGCCATGTGCAGTTGGTATTGCATGTCATGGTTATTGGTCACTGGCCATTGACAGATCTAAACACAATAATTTATCCACTTGCTACCTTAATGAGGTTAGTGAGATATTGCCCATCAGATGGTTTCACTAGGTCTGGTTTAGAAAGGGTATTTTGTAGGTAACAGATCCTTACAAGAGTAGTATTTTTTTTTTTTAATGGAAGCCTGTCTGCTGAAAATACTGTGCACCTATGAACATCCTTTCTTTACTTTTCTTGTCATGTATTCTTGATTCAATCATTGATTACCTGCTCTCTCTCTCTCTTTCTCTCTCTCTCTCAAAAAGTAAAAAAAGATAGTTATGCAATAGTATTAGAGCATTAGATTATCTTTAAATGGTTAAAATGGGAAATTTCCACTGTTTTAGGAATAGTCAGGAAAGAGAGTGAGACATTATAAGTTCCTGCCTAAAGCAAGTAAAACTTTTCTTGTTTTTGATTAAGCTGTCTTCTTTCCTTATAGAGTTTATACCTCTGATTCAGTACATCAAGGATCCTATATTCCTATTGCCCTTACCTGACCAGTGGAAGCTGTTGTGGAGGATATTTTCTTTCTAATTACTTCTTTTCTTTATTGTCAAATTTGGCAGTCAGTTAAGCTTGTTCATACTTCAGAAGTGGGTTTAACTGGAAATCTGGAAACTAATCATGCTTCATTTGTGGCAGTGGTATGCCTGAATGTAAGCTTGGCCTAAATGACAGAGTGCTACTGGAGGCTCAAGGTAGATCAACAAAAGGGAAAGCAATTGATCTGGATGATATCAAATTTCACCAGTATGTAGCTGAATTCTTCAGTATTTGTCTTCTGTACTTGTTCCGAAGTAATGATGCAAATTCTACTTAAGTCCAATTCTGGATTTTGACATTGTCATTTGTCAATACCACTATTTATTCCAATAGCTCCTTTTTTGGTCTAGGTGTGTACGTCTGGCTCGATTTGAAAATGACAGGACAATATCCTTTATACCCCCTGATGGGTCTTTTGATCTGATGACATACAGACTCAGCACTCAGGTTGATTTAATGCTTTATATATCATTTATGGTTTAGTACTGGTTATGGCCATATTTTTTTTTTTTTTTTCAGGTCATGTTGTTCCTCCAGGCTCATTTCTTTTTCTTTCAGGTAAAGCCTCTGATCTGGGTGGAGGCTCAGGTGGAGAGGCATTCAAGAAGTCGTGTTGAGCTGATGGTAAAAGCACGGAGCCAGTTCAAGGAGCGTAGGTATATATTTATTGCCTTTTATTTTCTATATCTGTTGAACTGATCTATTACAAGTTGAAGGGGATAGAAGACCTAGGGGCAGTCCAAAAAGGACATAGGTTGAAGTGGTAAAAAACGATTTGATAGCTTGTAATTTAACAATGTATATGGCACTGAACAGAATGGAAAGGTGAAAAAGGATTCATGTAGCCAACTCCATATAGTTAGAACAATGCTTAGATAATGATGATGATGATGATGGTGATATTGTATCCACTAGTTTTATTGCTCCTAAGAATCAATTTAGAAGACTGGGAAGGGTAACTTTTAGAATGTTTTGATTTAACAAGATGTTGGTTTTACAGCACTGCAACAAATGTTGAAATTGAGTTGCCTGTGCCATCTGATGCTACCAATCCCAATGTGCGAACTTCCATGGGATCTGCTTCATATGCACCTGAAAATGATGCATTGATATGGAAAATAAAATCCTTTCCTGGGGGCAAGGTAAGAGCTAGCTTTAAGCTCCTTTTCCACCATCCAATAGATGCCCAGAAATTCTTCCTATTTTGTTGTCAAATGACCATAAATTTTGAATGAGCTTGTAATTTAATAATGCACATACTACTGTGTTTGAACTAAATTTTGTAGGAGTATATGTTGAGGGCGGAATTTGGTCTTCCCAGTATAACTTCTGAAGATGCAGCTCCTGAGAGAAAAGCTCCTATTCGTGTGAAATTTGAGATACCGTATTTTACTGTCTCTGGAATACAGGTACCCTTCTAACTGGAGTATTTTCTCTCTTGAAATGTGTTAGAAAATATCAACCTATTCAGGGACCTCACCTAACAGCTTAAGCTTTTAGGTTGAATGGTTCTTTGAGATGGTATCAGAGCTATTTTCACCAAGTGGTTTAGTGTTCGATCCTCATTACCCCCACTATAATTAATTAAGTTTCAGCACAAGGTATGGGTGGGCCTCTGCTTATTCGCACTTCAAGCCCAATGGGCTTTCGTGTGAGGGGGCGTTTTAGAAAATATCAACCTATTCAAGGACCTCACCTAACAGCTTAAGCTTTTAGGTTGATTTTCTTTGAGAAAATGGAATGTTGCATAATTGCTGTTTTGTGGATTTCCAGTGTTTCACATTCAAGTTAGTTAAAATATTTTGTTGTATTTATTTTAAAGACATGGAGATAAAGGTTTTCTCAGATAGTCCATCTTAGGATAACAGTACAATCAACCATGTCATCTTTATTCCCACCCTACCCTACCCCTTGTGACAGACTCCCTTCTAAATAACAACCATGGATAATTCTCATTAAAAAAAAACAACCATGGGTTTTCTTCATTTTTTTGAATAATAACAAGATAAATCTCTATTTAAGCCATTTGGCATAGATGTTTGGGATGAAATTCCCTTATAAGTTGCCAGGTGCCAACCAGCTGGTTGGTAAGGTCTCCTGCTGGTTGTAGTGGAGACTTGGGATCGAATCCCACCTGCATCTGGGTTGGGGGATGGATTGTCTGAGACGCTTGTATGTTGGGTGGCATTTGAAAATTTTCAGGAAAAAAATCTCTTGTTTTCCACTTCCTAGGAACAGAAAAAACTGTGGAATTTTTTTTTTAAAACCCCACCTTGGTTGATGTCATTCCACTAGTTTGCAATTGCAAATTGTTTCTTGGGTATGTATACTTCTGTTTTCATGTGGGTAAGTTTTTTTTTTAATGAATTTTTCATGTGGGTAAGTTGATGATGTAAGTAGGTGCATCTTACTTATTATTCTTTGTCTTACTTCAGATTGAGATAGGATTAGCTGAACACATTAGCTAGCTATTCAGCGGTCTGTGGAACCAGTAATAACACTCCACACCAGTCACAAAATACGTGGGGCCCACAATCATTCAACCTCTCAGTGTGGGCCCCATGTATTTTATCACTGGTGTGGAGTGCTATCATTGGTTCTACAGCCTGCTACACAAATAAAGTGTTACAGCGAATCCAAATTCCTTGAAGATTAGATAGATGAAAATGGATGACTTACCCTTTAGCTGCTTTGTTTCTTAATTGGGTCCTTGAGTAGTCCACCAACGTTTTGGATTTACACCATAGACTTGTAATGGCCTGTTTGCGATACAACATTGCTGCCAGTTCAGAGCATCTAATAAGCAGGTTATCTCTCCTTAAAATGCTAATGGTTTGAGTGGCCAGTAATTAAAGGTCCAAGCTAATTAAAGCATTCATTTTGTTTGACTCCATGTTAGACCTGTGCTAATCTTCATCTGTGTTCTTTGAGATATAATATTCCTAAGCTGCATTGAAACATTTATTTTGCTTTTGGTCTCATCAAGTCGATATGAATCTATGTATTTATTCTTTAAAAATGGAATATTCAAGTTGTTTTCTCATCCTCTTGTGATAATCAAGATAAACTGCTTTCACCAAAAAAGTTGGGATTTTGTAGGTACGTTACCTTAAGATCATTGAGAAAAGTGGATACCAGGCCCTTCCATGGGTCAGATACATCACAATGGCCGGTGAATATGAACTGAGACTTATTTAAAAGCCACTCGAACCGGCACTGCTAACGACCACGTGATATATTTTACGGGCTCTAATATTCTAGAACTCAAAGCTACTATAAAGGAGCCTAGTGTGAAATAGTTGTTCCTTCCAAAACCGTGGTAAGTTTTAGCTTTTGTAGTCTTTTATCTCTTCCCCCTTCATCTCTGTTTTTGTTCTACAGTCGTTTGCAAGGGTCCATGGTCACCCAAAAATGTTTGTCTATTCATTTTTTTGTGAGAATTAAGAATCATTTATTGGGCATTGGATGGTAGCGGCTGGTCCATGATTATGATATTGAATGTAGGTGGCCTCTCCACAACATGCATTAGAAACTAGAAAGTTCCTTTATTATTCATGTTCTTCCCTATTGCTTAAAGTATGGAATTTGTGTCAAAATTCGATAAAACTATATGAGATGTTCAAGTTTAGTTCTTTTCTCTATAATATGAACTGCATTAAATTTTATCCTTTAGTGCTAGGCTGATACGGGGTTTAACAATGGCTGCAGGGCCTAACTTTTCCTGATTTTTAAAGGAAGAGAGAGAATAGATTAGAAGGAATTTAAGTTTGATACATCTAAAGTATCTAGGTTGAAGCATTTACAAATCAGAGTTAAATTAGCATGTAGACCATTTGATCCTTGGCAGTTGGCACATGCAATGTTGCCATAAGAATGCACTCTGGACGGAATTTTGAATATTCTATAATAATCAAGGCATATTGAAATGCTTCAACCAAGCAAATAGTATTTGTACAAGTACGATTTTGGTATTTTGAAATGCTTCAACCTGGCAATGGTTAGGAATGGCAACGGGGTGGGGTGGGAATGGGAAGCTATTCACCATCCCCATCCCCATGAAAATCCTATCCTCTTCCCCGCCTCCGTCCGAACCCCATTAGCGGGGACAAGGTTATCTCCATCCCTTTTCCCATGGGGATTCCCACTTTCCATGATTTTTTATGATATCAATTATTTTGTTTTTATTTTTTATTTCATTTAAAAAATTAAAAATAAAATAGTTAAAATTTATAATCCTATCAAATAAGATTCAAATATATTTGATAATATTCAATTATATTCTTAAAATTATTAATATACATGTGTATATGCATATATGCATATATACATATGTGTGAATTGGGGGCCCTGCATAAGGCTGCAATTTGGGCCGGGTTAGCCTGAACTCAACCCAAAAAAGTCAGGTTGGGTTGGGTCGGGTTGATGCTCGGGTTAGGGTTGAAATCTATGAACCTGACTTTATTTTGGGTTGGGTTAGGGTTGACCCCTTGAGTACCATATATATATATATGTGGTAGTTGTATAGCCACTACCACATATTGCCATTTATTTCATTTAAGATAATCACTTCATTTAATCCTAATTGGAAATACTAATACCTTGATAACATATTTTATGTTTTTTGAATATTTTATTCTTTATCTCTTCTTTGTTGTTTGCCACCCATATATAGCTTGTTGCCCATAAAAGATCTATTATAAGTCATAATAAACTAGTCATTTCAAACATTTTTTTTTCTAACTTTTGTACTTAAAGAACCCAATAAAAACATCAAGATTTTAAGGGATGGGAAGAAGGTTGGGTTGGGCCCAACCTGAAGTTGACTTTGAGTTGGATTGGGTTGGGTTAGGGTTAAAGGAATTTTGTTAGGGTTAGGATTGGGTAGGTCGGGTTGAAAGTCGGGTTGGGTTAGGGTTAGAGTTGGGGGTTTAGAACTTAGGGTTGGGCTAGGGTTGACCTCAACCCGATCTAACCCGACCCGACTTACAGCCCTAGCACTGCAGGGTGGGGAGTACTTTCCTGTCCCTGCCAATGGGAATGAAAATTTTCTTATCCCCATTCTTGCAAGGGATCAGGGAAATGGGAAAGTTGCCATTCTTAGCATTGGTTCTTTATGTAACATCTGTCCTGATGTCAAACCATTTTCTCAGTACTGAATAAACTTTGTACTCTTCAAAGGCATGTAATGCTAAACAATGGTGTGGTGTACTATCGACCACTTCTTACCTTCCCTTCTAATATGAATACCCCACTTTATTAAGAACAAATATTAAAATATTGATACTGTGTATTGATATAGTTGATACTTTGTTTTTTTTTTTATTTTTTATTTTATAATAATGAGATAGTTCTAGAGAGTAGGCTTGAAACCCTTTAAAAGTTTTCAAAATATTTGTATATCAACGTATCCAAATGTATCTAGATAAACTGGTATCAATAGGAGGGGTGTTGTATTATATGGAAACTTTAATCCCTGATTAAGAGTTGAAAATCTACCCTATGGTAACTGGACCAAGACTGCGAAATAAATTGTCACAGAGCTTTGATGAGGGGCCGGCTATCTCTAGGCTGCTGATACTCGTGAGCAGTGATAAAAGTAAAAAAAAATATAAAGGTCGTCAAGTATGGTCATTGCGACCTAATTAAACCAGACAGAAAAAAAAACTACTGCAAATTATCGTGGCGACCATTCACTAGTTATGAAAGAGTTTCAAGTATCCAATTATTCACTTTGGGCTTTCTTTCCGGGAAGCTGGCGGCTGGCAAGAAAGAGAACAAGGACGTTTCCAAGTAAATACGAGAACACAAAACGGTCACAACTTATTACAATTCACAAACTTACAACTTGAAAAAAAAAAAAAAAACACATAACAGTCGCATCTTACAAACACATAATGGCCACAACTTACAAACACATGACAGTCCCAACTTACAATTCACAAACACATCGATTGAAAGGTCCGAAACAACAGAAAAGGAAAGCAAGTCAGATAAGAGCTAATCCTACAGACAACCTACGAAGCTCTTAAACTCGGCCCATTCTCCTGTTGCTTTGCTGAAATTTTGGATAACCTCTCCAATAAGATTTCAAAATTCTCCTCCCGATCCAACATGCTAATCCTGACGTATGTTTTGTTCACTCCGAAGTGCTTCCCGCTTCTCGTTAGGATCTTATGGGCCCTTAGAAAACTCTCGCTGTCCTTTATCTCCTCCTTAAACTTCAGCCAAGCAAAAGCTGTAGTAGAAAAAGCTCAAATCATGATACGTTATTAACAAAATCTTCTCTCCACCTCCTCCACCATTTTATTAGTACAAGTAATCAAGCAGGTGATGATGAAACTAAAAAGTAGAGAGAAAGATTTCGTTACCGGGATGTGCTTCCGTGAATTCTCCGGCAAAGTTGCAGAACTCCTTGGGGTACTCCGGCAAAGTAAAAAGGTCATTTCCTCTAATAACGTTTCTCAGACACTCCCATCTATTGATCATGAGGCGTCTGAAATTGTCAAAGAAGTTCACTGAGCCTTGGGACCCCAATTGTTTGCAACTATCAGACACGGCTCTCAGAAGCTTTGCCGCCCGAACCTGTGAGTCCTTGGACACACCTATTGTGTTGAGCTCAATGAACTTGGTCATCTTCTTAGCTACCTCCTTGTCCTTGACAAGTGCCCACCTGAAAAACAAGAAGATCAAACCAAACAGTTGGTTAAATTTACTTTTAAGGCACTAACTCAGTTACCCCACACCTACAGCTACAATTTATATACAAATTAAGACCAGGGAATGATGTGGAGCTCACCCAATGCGTGATCCAGCATGTCCAGTGCTTTTGGAGACGGTGAATAGCATGAGATCGTGATCTGCCTGAATTGTAATTGGTGTGTATTGTGGCCAGTAGTAAGCTAGGTCATAGACCACCTTTCCTCCCCTCCGGTTAATCACAGTTTTCCTGGTGAACCCATCGGGGTTATTTGGGGAGGTAACGAGTTCTATGTAAGGTTTATCTCCGTCGAAGCCATGTGCGTCACCGGCCCATCTGTAGAGTCTGGACCTCAAGAATTCTGTCAATGTCGGATACGACTGCAAGTGACGAACAATTCAAGACAACAGGACGGATGGAGTTAGCAGCGGAAATCAATAACAATAAGCAACATTGTTTTTTTCTCCCTTTTGCTTTTTTTCCTGATCCATCCGACATTATTAATAAATTCACCTTATAAATACATGACCATTAATGATGTTATTTTGATTTCTACTAATAATAATCTACAACATAATCACGTTACCCTGTAATAACAATTATACTTCGTCGTATTAATCCATCATTAATTAAGGGCTCGAAGGACCATACTAGTCTCAAATGTCAGAACCCAACCCAATCTCACTGGGTTAGGTTTTAGGTTGGGAATTCCACGATTCAAAATTTCAAATTGGATCAGGGTTGACCTCATCCCAACCTAAATTGGCCGCCCGCAGAGTACACCTCTGTGAACAACCGTCAACAAATCTACGTCTTTCTTTTATTGATTCACATTCTCGTGGCTTGACTGGCTTCTTTAAAGATTTCCAGGTACTATAACTCTATACAAATTTCAACGGTTAAGCTCTATATTACTTGTTTGTATAATAAAATTCTCGTCACGTAAAAACATCATTAATGTTTTTAGACTGAACAGTAAAAAAATCTCGTTATAAAGTGATGAATGATGACTTGACTGACCTAAGCACAGTCTGACTATCAAACAAACCCTAATCACGGTCTGTCTGTTAACGTTGCAGCTCCATTTCAGGAAGACAGGAACATCTCGGGTACCAATGTACTGTTCCCACTGTGTGGATGCAAGTTGTTGTGTGAGGTGGGTGTGAAAAAGTATTATTTGAGTAGGAAGTCTGGATAATCAGATTCATCGGACTCTCTTCACCGAGTCCGGATCACCTGCCAATTAAATACGTTCCTGACATCCTATTAACATCATCTAATACCTCACATTTTATATATGGTAGGTCCTATTTTTATGATGGGCTTTGATGGTGACTTCCGTCGTCCGAATTGTAGTCTATAGAAACGTCCTCAATAACGGATTGGGCCCAAATCCCCTGAAAGGGGGCACCAGAGAGAATGAGTGAGTTGAATTGTTTGAAAATGCAGTCCCAATTGAACATAAATTCTGTCCGCATAGTGAGATGTGTGGTAACAGAACAAATTGATATAATGTTGAAATATGTTTTATTGGCAGAAGACCCTAACTTTCTTTTCACAATAGTTGGGATCTAGTCCCAACATCCATAATAGCTGAAAATCAGGAGATCTTCCATAAAGGGGCTGTGACCTGCTACTAATAGAATGCTTTCAACACTGTTCCAACAGACATTGGGAACACCTCCCTTCTCAATTCTCATTCAGGGGGAGATGTTTCTAATGTGAAACTGCAATGGCTGGTTGGGACCTTGTATTGGTAATCGATCCAAAATTGTCATAAAAGACAAAGAATGTCTCCCATGAATCTAGATCTTCTTCTAACATCATCTAATACCACACATCTCATGCATGGCGGATCCCAGTCTGATGGTGAGATGTGCGATGTAAGGTGATATTGGAAGGGTGTTGGGAATTGTTTTGTTGGCAGTAGATCCCAAGGCCCCAACTAGTTTCCAATGGCGATCCGCTATTGTAACTAGATCCGAACTCTTGCATGCTTTTGATTGTTTTTTGTTGGGATCAGATCTAATTTTATGGTCCCAAGGTCCCATAAGCCATTGTAACCGTACATAGGGAACATCGTGGCGAGATGTTCTGGATGTACGGCTGGCAACAGATCCGGACTCTGAAGATGATCATACACAACCATTCTACGTTTCATCCTTTCTCCCCGAAATGGAAAAGGCGAGGAGGGGAGTGAGTTATCATGCGGCCCTAACCACGGAATCATCGTCAGCTTAAATTAAGATGATTAAGATTCAACTGTTTCGGAAACCGTGTATCATTAATCAATAATCACTGCGAGTGCAAGGAGAACTCACGGAGTAGTAAGGAGCGGCGGAAACGACGCTCATAGGCTCATCTGCATCCGGAGAAGATAGAGCGTAGAGCGCAGCCTGAAAGAGCTGCGTCGAACCGGTGCCCACCACAATGTGACGATCTTCGGTAACAGCATTCCCCACCAACCGATGCAGTCGCCTGACCTCTTCCGCCAACTCTGGCTCCAGAAACCAACACAGACTTGTGATATCGGAGAAGTAGCTCAACGATTGCCAACCCGTGATCACCACCGCACAGTTGTCTCCCATCCTTCGCCAGTATGACTCGAACATCTTCGGATCGCCACTGTTGTTAACAGTAATTAATTTAACCAGTTAAATAACAATCACATTATCATACAGAGATATCAAACCCCAACTTCTACTTAAAAAATGGAAGCAAATTAAAACGCCTTTTTCCTACAAACAAGTTACGAACTTACTGGTCAAGGTTGATGACAGAGTCGGAGGGGAGCTTCTTGGTTACGCCGTTCTCCTTCGCTTCGATACAAGAATGAGAAGAGGAAGAAGAGTGTCCGTTAATTGCTGCCTGTTTTGTACCGCACATTTTCTTTTGTTTCTTCTCTGCAAACGAAGATTAACTATGCCTCTCAAGTTCTGATACAGGGAATTGAAGGATCTTCACGTTTCACAGTGACCCAACCATCAACCATGGACGGTATATATAATATATCCTGATCTGCTGCATTTTTTCGGGTTTATAAACATGCCTACCTGAAATAGACTCTCCAAATTAAATCGTGACTCACGCGATACATGCATGCACGAAGAAACGTTGAATTTGGGATTCTTTAATGGATTGGCGCTACAGAAAGTTAGAGAGGTAAAAGTAGAACGGATAAGAGAAAAATAAATTAGATTCAGATTCAGATTCCACTCTCATATATTACAACGATTTAATTAATTATCTTTATGAGAAATGCGAATGCCAATAAACAACGACTTTAATGCAGTTCTTAAGAAATACTACGCCCTAAGGAACAATGCGGGGATTCATCATTCATGGCAAAGCATCCAAGAATCATTTGAACTCGTAATAACTTCCTTCTTCACTAATTTTTGTAGGTTTACTTGTCGGGGAAAATTAATATGGTAAGAAATAAGGTTTATTTATTTATTTTATAGAAAAATGTGAGCCATACAAACATGGGTAACAAATAAAATTAAAATCACATATCCTAAATTCATTATTATGATTATTTCAACTCTACTTGTATGTACATAGTATATATTGTTTCCAAATTAAATATAAGGATTCAAATTTCAACCTAAATTCATTTCCCTCTTTGTTTGGAGAATCAAGAAACATATCACAAAAACCGAGTAAGAATGCATTAATTTCCTTATCTCTATATCCTTTTTGCACAAATAATCTTGTTAGAATGACGATACTGTAACTATCCAAAAAAACAAAAGAATGCCGTTACAGGGTTAAATATATTTTGATTTTATACAAAACTAAAAATAAAAAAAGAACAAAATTACTTTTTTTTTTTTTTATCTTTAATGGAGCTCTCTTCTCAACAACATTGATTACAATCAACAGATGCCATAGATTTTTTTATTCAGAAAATTAATTTATTTCATATGTTTTAATTATAAATGAAAATATACTCCCCCCCCCCCCTTTTCACATTGTTCCTTGTGTGTTAGAAAAAGTTATGAAGTTTTGAATTATTCCTTAATGGCTGAAGTTAAAGCTGAATTGATTATCATAATTTTTGAATATTTTATCATTTAATTATAACTATTACAAAACAAAAAGTCATTCAGTTCAGCCAATTCAGCTATTATCCAACCATTCGTGAGTCTTACCTTTTCTATGAAATGATTCTAACCTCCTCTATTGAATTCACATGGGCGACCCACAGAGCACACTCACTTGTAATCCACAGCACAACCCAAGGTGTTCCCAATACACACTGAGATGTGCATGGCACCTGTGGGGCGCCAATCTGAACTCTCCTCTACTGGCAGATAACTCTATCCTTATCTCATACCTAATTCCTAGTATTTCTACATCAGCCTAGCTAGAGATCACAACACTATTCTCTTACCTATCTGTATCTGTATGTCTTATTTTTGGAGACTATTCAACCAATCAAGGTTGAAAATATCGATACACATAATAAGAAAAAAATTGCGTATATCGAGTATCAGTGACCTAATATAGCAATAGGATATACACAATATAATGCAATAAGTACGGATGCTTAAACCTTCCATCCAATGTACTAAATATATCCCGTTTCTTAGGTTCCACCAAGGCCAACTGAAGGAAAAACCCAAGAGAAATCAAAGCAAAACTTATCTCAATGGCTGCTTGTGTTCATAAAACCATAAAAAAAAAAAATCAGAGATTCAGATAATACAGGTGAACAATGGCATTTGTCAATATTTATTTAAGGGAGATTATCAATGGTCCCAAAAAGCTAATGGATGCAACTTGAGTGGGTTTAACGCCCCAACCCAACATCAACTTTATCCAAGCTTGACTTCAAATTTTTGAATTTCGAGTCAAATTTTGGGGCCGGGCTACGATTAAGACAACAGGTTGTCCAAGCCCAGCCCACTGTAGGTTTAAGTTCAATAAAGAAGTGCTGAAGTGCATTTTACACAACAATAATGTCAAAATAGCTTAGGTTTAGGCCGAGTTGGACTTAAGCCTACAAGCTTAGATTAGGCCTTACCTTGGGCAGGTCAAAATGATAAGATATCTAAAAAGATGATAAAATCGATGTCATAGAATTAATAACCATATTTATCTGATCAAAATTCTTCTTGTATTATACCTTTCTAACATCATACAAATTATCTATAAAGCAATCCATTTTATTTCCTTGTTCCGATATTTCCATAGTATCACTCTGCCAATTTCACAAGGTTAATCAATGTGGAGCATGTGAGCATGACACATGTCAAAAGGATGAACAACGAACCCAAATTTCCTACTCACTTTTCTTACGGCCATACATTATTAGCGTGAGCTGTCAAAGTAGGAGGATATTTCTTAATTCAAGGGACAATTCCTATCCGGAGTGTTTGTATTGGACAAGGAAAGATGGAAGAAGGCCTGTATCTATATATATTCATTCCCTGTAAAGGAAAAAGTGACGGGAACAAAAGAATAATATCTTTCATTCTAAACGAATTGTCATGGTATCAGAGCAACGATCCTACAGGGAGCGCATTCGAGCGGTGATCCTACAGTGATTGGCCACTCGTGCTGAGCCCAGAACGGTCAGCGAGCCCAACCTTACCTCCTCCTCTGTTAGTGGTAACAGCGTCGATCTTGGCGGCAATCTCCTTGGTCGCGTGCTTCTTAGGCTTCATCCTTCCAGTCATGGTTGGTTCTCTCTCCGCCTGATGATCAACGACAAATCACCCGAAAACCAGGAGAGATAAATAGAAGTTTGGAGCAGCGATAAAGTCATCGGAAGTCGGATGCAGCCGGATAGGCGATCACCTCTTCCTCAGCCCTGCGGACGCAGCCGAATCGTGTCGTCTATCTCCGACGTTGGAAGTCGAACACAACCGGATAGGCGATCACATCTTCCTTCGCCCTGCGGATGCAGCCGGATAGGCGATCACCAAAGGACCTCTACACGTTCAATCTGCTGGGAAAATTTATCGGTTCTGTGGAGCATCTATAGAGATCAGCATCAAGATCACGTTCTTGAGGTAATTCATCACCGTACTAGAATATTACTATTTTTTAGAGCTTTGGTTTTTTATCTCGGAGATCGGCGAAGTGCAAACGGTTTTTTCGACCAACAAGAGGAACTCAGATTCCTTCGTCGAGATTGCAAACTCGGTGTTTGATTTCCGAGATTTCTCACCTCTTCCTCCGCCCTGTGGCACTAAGCTCTTCTGCTCCGAGACGCCATTAGCAGGGACACCCTTCGGGAGATACAACCATGTCCGATTCAGAAACCTCAGATCCGGTTGGGGAACAACGATCCGACCCTACCCTCACTGAATTGACCACTAGAATGGCTGAAATCCTGCACAGACCAACCTCGACTACAGAGACTCCTGTCGCACAGATTGGCATCAAGTTGGACGGCACCAACTATGCTCTTTGGTCCCAAGTTGTTGAGATGTATATCTCCGGCAAAGACAAATTGGGATATATTAATGGCGAGCTTCCCCAGCCTCCTCAGTCTGACCCAACCTTTCGAAAGTGGTGCACGAACAACGCTATTGTCAAGGGCTGGTTAATTAACTCCATGGACGTATCATTGATCGGCAACTTTATTCGATTCCCTACGGCAAAGATGGTGTGGGATTCTGTTGCTACTACCTACTTTGATGGCAGTGACACCTCACAAGTATATGATCTCTGACGCCGTGTGACCCACTTGCGCCAGTCTGGAGGATCTCTTGAAAAATATTATAATGATCTCCAAGGTTTGTGGTGTGAAATTGATTTTCGCCATCCAAATCCAATGGAGTGTGTTGCAGATATTCAACGATATAGTAATCTTCTTCAAGAAGAGAGAGTGTATATTTTCTTAGATGGCCTTGATGACAAACTTGACAAGATTCGAGCAGATGTACTCCAAATGCACTCGTTTCCCACTATTGAGCAGGCATACACACATGTTCGTAGGGAAGCTATCCGGCAAAAGGTCATAATCACCGGTAACAATATTGAAACTCCAAGAGCTGTTTTGGCCTCCAAAAGTGTTAAAACGGGACAACCTACTTCATCCTCAACAGGCTCTCTTTCTTTGAGCAACGGAAAAGCTGGTATGTCCTCTAAATCTCGAACATCTTCTGATAAAACTAAGTGTTCTCATTGTGGTAACTCGAAGCATACCTGGGAGAATTGCTTCAAACTACATGGCTACCCCGACTGGTGGCATGAACTCCAAGCCCGGAAACGTCAAGACAAGGCTGAAACTGGTGGTAAGGCTGCGATGGTTACAACAGAACCCCAACTGTCATTCACACCGCCTGTTGAACTACCACAAGGAGACGTACACCTCTCAGATTCAGGTAACAATCTTCCCCACAACACTGCTGATTGCAATGCATGGATACTTGACTCGGGGGCTACCGACCACATGACCTATGATGCCACTGATTTTTAAAAAACTTCACCACCAAGACGGACTACAATTGCTAATGCCAATGGGGCTATATCTCCAGTCACAAGAGCAGGCACTGTGACCTTGTCACCTACAATATCCTTAAAGAAACACTTTGCTTGTTCCCTTTCTCTCCCATAAATTACTATCTGTTAGCCAAATTTGCACTGATCTAAATTGTGTTGTGCTCATCTATCCTATTTTTTGTCTTCTTTAGAATATTCTCACCAAGGAGATAATTGGGCGTGGTACTAGGAGGGGGGGGGGAGCTCTACTACATGGATGATCTTAGTATGGGTCGAGCACATCATGCACACCATCAAAGTAATACCAAAGAATAACAGATTTGGATCTGGCACGCCCGGTAGAACCCGAACCCACAATCGCCTGATTACTTCTGCTGGTTACACTTTACCTTTCAGGCATAATTATGGCAAACCGCCAAATAGATATTCTCCAGAGATTGAGGACCGGAGGTTAAAGTATCAAATTACCAATTATGTATCAACAAAGAGACTCTCCAAA